TATTAACAATAAATATGCATCTGAAATGCGCGTAATAAAAGTTTTTAATGACAAGGTGTAATTCTGAGCTATTTACCTACTTTTTCCAGTGTAGTGTCGATCACGATTTATCTAACATCAGAGTTTTAGCATAAATGCAATAATAATATTATTATTTACTAAAAAACGTTTCAACAATTTTTATGACTCTAACTAGATCAATCGTGTACACAATATGAACACAACTAAGTACATTCGACTTATCTTACACTTGTTTCTTAGTATGAATTTTATTTTTGATGTACAACGAAAACAAAAAGATATATTAAGAATAAAAATCTGAAAGAGTGGGATGCGAAAATATACACTTTAACTGATCTACTATTATTAATTTTTTATTTATTAAGTATTATTAACAATATTAGTGTCAAATCAATTCATAGAAATTAATATATCAAGCGAACTCTAATTTATAAAAGATTTCAGTTTACACTAATATATAAAACATTTCTTACCATGGTTATCAAATAGATGCAGTATACACATCACATATTATAGTAGTGTTTAAAAGTCTTACATTGATGTGGTGTTTCTTGGTTGTTTGCAGTCTACTATATTTCCATATTATGTTTTCCGTTTTTTAATATCAATGGCTTACGGAATGTAGTTATATTTTTTATTAATATTTATGAAAGTTTGTAAATGTTTTTTTTTTTTTTTTTTTTTTTTTTTTTAATCAATATTGTTATGAAATAAAATTAACACTGTTGAGTTATCAGATTTAAGATGTTACAGACGAATATACAGTTATTATACGAGCATACATGTACTGTTGATTGCAACGTTGCATCAGTGTCTTTTTGTTGATTTAATTATTTTTCAAACATAATCCAACATATACAATTTTAATTTATGAAAATAACTTTCTAATATTTTCACACATGTATACTTATATAATGTATCAGTAATAACATAAATTTTCATGTATAAATATTAATCACGTACGTATATTTTTTGTGTAGGAGTAGTAGTTAACGACTGAAAGATTTATATGTTTCGTATATTCGTATGATAAAAATGTACCCGTATCAATACATAAAGTTGATTTCTGTGATTTTATTCGAAATTTTGAATAGCATTAATGTTATTTTTGTTAATTTTATCGTGTACATAAGAAGATTTTTATTAATCAAACAATGTAAACGTTTCTATAAAAATTTCAATTAATTTGATCTTTGTAGTATTAAAATTTTTTTCTCACTATCCTTTAATGTGACATGTACTCATAAAATTTTAACAGTACTTATCATTGGCACAGTAGTCATCAAATTATAACGGTTATTATAGTTGACCGTGATACTTTTTTTTAAGTAAATTGGACGTCCTTTATATATTTATATTAATTTCAATAGCAATGTTTTGGATGAAAACTACAAAATGCATAAAGATTTCACAAAAAAGTGGCAGGAGGATTTGGAAATAAAAAAATCATCCAACCATTTTAATATTCATAAATCAGATACAAATAAAAAATAATTACCTCAGTCAGAAAATAATTTTCAAAAGATCAAACTGTATATATTCATATCCAATCATTTTGTTTTCTTTTAAAAATAATACATGAAATGTTAACCTTACCTATGCATTTAAGAAAACGCATTTACATACAATCTCGCACACCGAGGATGTGAATATCGCTAACACTCCTCGTGGACATACGCATTTTACACATTTTCACCTACGCTTGAACACTCAGCTGTATTTCAACTCTCGAGTTTTAACATGACTACACGAATTTTTGTGTGTAATGTACACATGCGTATGTGGAATATGTAATGTACTATATTGATTTTAGAAAAAGAAAAAACTAACAATTCTCTCTGTCTCTATGCCTTTTTTACTCCTCTCTAATCGCTCTCTCGTGTGTTACCGACTCTATGTCTCCTCTTCAAACGCAGGTGATGACTTCTCGTACTCAAGTAAGTCCGCAAGCCAACTTTGACAAGTGCTCTTTTATGTACATTGGTTAGGCTTTTACATTTATACGTATATTCATATCTATGGGTACAAATGTACCTTACATACTAAAAATTATACTACACGTCATGTAAACAACATTTTGCTATTGTAATTCGCCATGCCACAATATGTGAAAAAAAACACGGTAGAGTAAATAATAATAATTCGCATAAATATATACAGATATAAAAGGAAAAAACTCGATTACCTCGCGCTGCATTTAGGCCGTATGATCATAGCAAAAATTACACTTGGTATTAGTAGTTATGTAATACGTTGCATCTACACATAATTAAAAAAGCACTGAACGCTACAATTTATATTTTTATTGTTAAAACTGAGTTTTATGATTATATATATTTCACTGCTAAGCATTTACATGACATTATATCAACAGTATTTCTTTTCGTAAAAATGCATATACAATTTACAATCAGCTTTAGAAGTATATTTTGTACGCTTACTTTAATATTTTTCAAGGATTTTAAAATTTGTTTAGATCCTTCATTGTAATAATTATTTGTCTTATTTTAACACTTATCTTAATAATCATTATCATCATCATTATGATTTCGATCATCATCTTCATCATGATCATCATCGTCGTCGTCATCATCATTATCATCATCATTATTAACATTATCTACATAATTTATTTATTCTGGTATTTTGTTTTCAAGTAGATACAAATTTAACAATTAGGTCTTAAAAATATTTGTAAAGTGTCAGAACCACTTCCACAGATATTTTAGTTTTTACGGTTTTCATTTATTTTCATTTTTCAAGCTTAATTTTCAAAAAATTTCAATGTGCTTCAAAAACGTTTTTTTCTGAGTTTGATCAATGGCATTTTTAACCAATCTATAAAATATTACCATATACGTCGAGAGATTTTTTTTTTCATCCTCAATCACAAGTTCCTGTACAAGAATGTTTATTAGGTATGACACTTGCAGCTCGAAACAATTATGCACTGCTCTGCGTCATCGCTACGCTAATAATAGTGCATCTAGAAAAAATGTAAGAAAATCGCTCTACGACGAAAAATCCTTATAGTGCTAATTGCGTTAACATGGGAGTTTTTTTAGAATAACGTGCAAAGTTTGTAGTATCCACATTACATCGTATGTAAGAACCAAACAAAATCTCATATGAAAATTAAATTACAAAGCCCTAGAAATTTCAACTTAGTTTATTTTGATAAATACAATACATACTTCTCATGTAATATACAAAAGCGCGAGGCAGGAAAATTCTCGCCCAAGTGTGAAAATTGTAGCCCGAGCGAAGCAAAGATAATAACTACACGCTGTTTGTTGACAGAAGAGGCATGAAATTTTAATTTAACGCTGCCCATCATAACGGGAGAAAAGCAACTGAGTTTCACCAGCCAGTGCCTCCTTCTCGATATGAAGGGCTGAAAAGTTGAGTTTCGTGCTCAGAGCGTCAACAATTATTCCTAATCTTTATTTATGGAGTTCATTGTGTATCCAATATATCAATTAGTATTTGCAAATGTATTCACGGTCTTATTTGTTTCTTCTCTCCAATCGAACCTCTCTATTTCTTCACTTCTTTTCTAATCTTATTGCACTGTGCTTCTTTTCTTCACAATACTAATAAAATTAACTAATTATTTGATTGCCTTTCCACAGCATAATATAATTAAAGTACATATTTACTTTGAAATGCTTCCACACGAGATTCTATGCATGCATGAGATTCACAAGCGATAACCACGTGTATGACCGTTGTATTTTGTCTCTTTTTATACAGCCGACACACATCTCAATGCAATAAAAAATCCAACTATAATTCGCAAAAAATATTGCACATGTTTCAGATGATTGTAATATGCTTGCTACATTTTAAGATTGTACTTATAGTGCATTTAATTTCACGAATTTTTATTTATTACTACACCATGGTAGCTTAAATACTTAGTGTTAATTACAAAACTGAGACGTAGAAGGGGTGCCTCGCATGCGAATGATAAAAGCGATGCCTCACTTCTGTGAAAACCAAATTACGCCATGAGTTATATCTATTTGAAGTGAATGTTTTCACACAAAAATATGGGTTTTTTGGTTTCAGAGATTCATGGATCGACGATAGTTTCTAAATTAATCTTACATCTGCATGATAAATTAATGCACACTATTTAAATATTTAAAAAAAAATATGTTTAATGTAAAAGTAATGTTGTAGATTAAATTAAAATACATTAAGTCAAGCGTACTTTTCTGTATCTGAGGTAAATCATATTAGAACACAGCACGGTAGCAACAAAAGTACGATTGATTATTTTGTATGAATAGATTTTTCTGATACAATCATGTTTTTTATCTACAATTTAGTAATTTGCACATTGAATCTTTCTGCACAATCGTTTGTTTGTTAAATAATTTTAAACATCTTTATTTGAATGATAAAAAACTATTAATTTAAAGTAATCAGTACACAACTGAGGAAAAGTAAAAAAATATTTTACTTTTTAAACAAATTAAAATTTTATAAAAAAGTTACAATTTATATTGTATACAATTTTTTGTGGGATAGCATTAAATTTCATAAAATCAGATGAAGAGATGAGTATTATAATAGACGACATATAATATTAATGATTTAATATCTTACACCACTTTTTCACGACAACTGCTGCTACAAAAGTTTCAGTATTTGAAACACTGAAACTTTAAGATTTTAATGATTCAAAGTGAAATATACTTACTATTTCATCTAGTTGCATACTAATAACTTTCAAATGTTTGTTTTTTTGTAAATTGTAAACTTTACATTTAGAGTAATTTATTTTAAAGAATTAGTTAAAACAAGATGCCGGAAGATTCAAGATTTTGATGTAATAGCTCATTGATTGAAAATACATATTTAATGTCATGGTAAAGTAGCATTATAGGTCGTAGTAATGTACGTAGTTAATAATCTAAACAATAGGTTTATAATAGTTTAGAGTAGCTAACATATGTAGTAATTTGTTACAGACGACCACCATCCTCCCCCTACATTCACCCCGCCAGAACTGCCCAAGATGGTTCACGTAAGAGGTACAGTTTAACACCTCGGTCAAACCGTGCTATACAGTCTGCTAAACTTATTTATACGCGCGGTGTCACACTCTCTCTCTCTCTCTCTCTCTCTATCTTTCACTCTGTTTTCATTCAATTACCGTTACAGTCTTATTACTTTCAGTTAAGCTACGGGAGCATAGACATTTTTTTTAATTTATCTCACACTTTACTGCTGTTGATTTTTGAATTATTTTTAAAAATTTTAGTAAAAAATTTAACTTTTTCTTTTCATCAATGTAACAAAGTAGCACAGTTTATAAGTTATCAATGTGAACATTTAGATATATCAATTTCCTCCAAATGCTGCCAAAATATCAAATAAAGATTAGTGAGATTAACTTGTTTTTGAATTTTTTGTTCAGTTAAATTTTGTACTTTTTTTTACATTTACGTAAGACTTCAGTTGGTAAATCAAAATAACGAGCATTATCATATTACATATCAACATGAACCAATTTATTTTTGCTTTATTACTTTCATAACTAACAATTTTTGTCAAACTATATTCAATTATGTTGAATATACTGAATTTTGAATTATTTCATTGTAGTTGTAGAATTTTTTTTGATGTAGTTTTTTTTAGTAACCGAAGTAAAAAAGATTGTATTAAAAATACGTAGTTTTAATTTTTTTGCAAACTAGTTAATAAGTAAGTACATATTGCAGTAAAATAACATTACATACATCTCACGATGATATATATTTTTTCTAGCTGTAAAAAAAATTGTTTCCGTTTGATCCATATTAGCTAATATAATCAGATACTGTAGCACGTTCTATTCACTTTATTATAGCAAGAAAACAAACACACAGTATATACACATTTATTAAAAAAGTCAAAGATGTTGAATTTCAATTCAATTAAATTTATCTGAAGATGTTATATTTTCAGATTTTTTATTGAATTAATCAAGCAAACTTAATTTTGAAAAAAACATTACTGTCATAAAAAAATCGTTATAAATGGGAAATTCATCAGTAAGTTTACATGAAAAAATTTTGATAGTTTAATGCTATTTTTTCTCCTAGCTAAAATGTAAATTTTAATTACTGACCAAATTGAATCTAAAAAAACATATAACACTAGATACTTGATATTTTTACGTTGCACTTATTTGCATGCAACTTAATTGCAAGAGAAGTGGTGTTGATAATTCATTAATATAACTTTTTCACATCAACGAATGGAAAAGTAAATATTTGGTTGACAGTAACGATTCGCTTTTAAAATTAAGGTTGCTGAGCCTCCCTCATACATTTTTTCTGTTAATTGGATCACCAAAAAAGATGTGTTGCACTGAATAAAGAAAAAAAATATTGAAAAAACAGTAAAATGGAGCTTTTTAAGCAAGCACAAATCTAATGTCGTATCAATCAGAATTGTATGCATGGGAGACTGTAGGTCGGTTTTAAAAATTACATTATTTAACGTGCGCGCACACACACACACACACACACACACACACACACACATCCGTATACACATACGCACCAACACACACGTGTGTGCGCACGCGTACGCTTTAATGTGTGAATGTTGGAATCTCCAAAAAATCGTGAGTTAAAAAAATTCAGAGTTCTGGAAAACATTTATATACCTACTCCACAGGATTCACAATAAGCATGAGTCACTGTCACAAGTCTTAAATTTGAGTTATTTGTATGAACCACTTGCTCACTTGCTTAACAATTTTCCAAAATTGTAATTCCCTCCGACTCATGATTTTATGGAGATATCGACACATTTGCTGCATTTGGATTTATTTATTTTACACTATTAAGGATTGCGCAGTACGGGCAAGTGTTTTCGCTCCAAAAAAGTGTGTTTTGTCAATTTCGGTGAATATTTTCTGCCTCTCTTTTACGTGTATGTGTCATTTATTATTGTCTTTATTGTATTAGAATTTTGGGTACGATTACTTAATTGCTTTTTTTTTACTCTCTAAAAATTTAATTACTATTAAACCTTACAATCATACGTTTTAGGTGAAATCAGCCGGGATCGAGAAGATTCAACGGGTAAGTTCTTTTTTGATCGTATAAATAAGCAAATAGCGCACGGGTTCTTGAGAACGAAAAAGTGAAAATGTCCCGAATCTTGTGCAACATGTTTTGGCACATGATTATTATGCATGCACACACGATATTGAAAGAAATCTAGCCAAAAGTTTGTAAGAGTGAGGTCAGCAGTAAAGAAGGTTGGCTTTTGCCGAACGCGCGTTTACGTATTTGTTGCAGCGATGCGCAACCACCGCAACTCAGTGGGAATGACGACGATGAACTCGACGAAGCAAGTCAACAAGGTGAAACCGAACGTAAACAGGACCGCTAGCGATGGCCTGGCTAGTCCTCAGCAGCAGCAGCAGCAGCCGCAGCAACCGTACAATCAGAGGTATGTTCACCACCTCGTTTCAACTGACCAGATTGTTACCCCCATCTCGTCTTTGCGTCTACTTACCTTTACTTCTTTCATTAATTACTACGTACAGCATGTTCATAAGACTAGCTGTTTTGGAAATAATTTCCTCATACATCTTAGGTACGAAATGTACTGTATTTTGGTGGATGGCGTTTTCAAAATTAAACATTTTAATATTATTACTTAAACGAATTTTTTTTTTTACCTTATTATCCTTTCAATACTTATATCTACTTATATCTGTTTTATTGATGGTAATAAAAAAAGGATCTTAAGCTCAATACCCACGTTTAGAAAAAAAAAAAAAAAAAAAAAAACATAATTCCAAGATCACTAAGAACTGTATTATCTAAAAATGTGCGCTCACTTTGTAATTTTCAGAACACAGCAGGAAGAGTCCGCATATACAGGCTACCATCTTGCCTACGAAGTGAAAAAGCTCATGTACGCTGAATAAAATGTTAAAATATATTAAAATTTTTGTTTAATGAATTTATTTAATTATTTATTAATGATAATGAAAATAATAATAAAAAAAATGCACAGGCCAACGAGTCGAGCGTCCGGAGGCTCGAGCGCGACGCAAAATGGAAGCCTGCAGATCGGCATAGCCGACGATCAAGCGAAGGACTTTGACTTTGAGAAGACGGAGATGAAGTACGACTCGACGGGCATGTTTCACTGGAGTCCGGCACGCAACCTCGAGGACTGTATCCTGGACCGGAACCAGGCGGCCATGACCGTATTGAATGGCCACGTGGTCGTCTGTTTGTTCGCCGACCCCGACTCGCCGCTCATCGGGTTGCGCAACCTCGTGATGCCGTTACGCGCCTCCAACTTCCATTACCACGAGCTGAAACACGTTGTGATCGTCGGCTCCGTCGACTACATCAGGCGCGAGTGGAAGATGCTGCAGAATCTGCCAAAGATTTCGGTCCTAAACGTGAGTTATATACATATCTGAGTTGGTATTTATATGAACCATGAACATGTAAAACTGACACAAAAAAGTAAATGTAAGATATTGAAAAAGCACGTAGTCCAGTGAGGAGCTTCCTCAAAGATATGCATGTCTATCCATAATTCCAATTTTTCATTTTAAACCGCCAAAACGAATCGGAATGAATTGCACTTTCCACATTATGTGTCATATAGCTTTAAACTTCGGAGTACCTATACAGGGTCGAAGTTTAAGTACAGTTAACATGATGATTAAAAAATATAAAAATCCATTACTATTTAAATGCTACGTAATAGTCATAAAAAAATGAAATACTAAAACAACATGTTGATCGCTGTACGGTGTAGGGTTCGCCACTAAGTCGAGCAGACTTGCGTGCCGTGAACGTGAATCTGTGCGACATGTGCTGTATCCTGTCGGCAAAAGTGCCTAGCAACGATGACCCTACCCTCGCCGACAAGGAGGCCATTCTTGCATCCCTCAACATTAAAGCCATGACATTCGACGACACGATAGGTGTGCTCAGTCAAGGTAAAAACTCTTCAAATTTTTATTTTTTCCGTTATTTCGGACATCCATTCATGTGTCTATAAACCGATTAATTAATGTCTCCTGACGAAAAGTCGCTGAAGAAAATTCTCGCATTACTTATCTGTTGACAGAAAAGTACTTGACTACTTTCCGCTTATTCGCCATCCTTGCCTTCTGTTTGAAAAATATTGTACTTGGGGACGGCGTTAAAATATTTTCCTAATTGATGCAATTATGATCTAGTAAATTATTATTCCCTCTTGAAACCCTAAATCATAGTGTATTTTCAGGGGAGGGAGAAAAAAATTGGCAGAAAAGGTCACTCCTGATCTTAAATATTCGATGCACTCATTTCTTTTTTTTTTTTTTTTTTTTTTTTTTTCCAGTTGGCAGTCCTATTGTTCTTCAGAGAAGGGGATCTGTTTATGGAGCGAATGTACCCATGATCACAGGTAACCCACCCTCACCCTCACCTTTCACCGAGATGGTTACAATCTTTGGCTAGACTAACGTACCAATCATCGTGACTTTGCGTTTCAGAACTCGTGAACGACAGCAACGTCCAGTTTCTCGACCAGGACGATGATGACGACCCGGACACGGAGCTCTACCTCACTCAGCCGTTTGCCTGCGGTACGGCTTTTGCCGTGAGCGTGCTAGACTCGCTGATGTCGACGGTAAATTGCCAATGGAGCAAACGATTTCATTCCATGATTTTCCATTACCCCAGCATTGATACCATTGCTTCGTTCGTAGACTTACTTCAACCAAAATGCCCTGACTCTGATACGATCGCTGATCACCGGTGGTGCAACGCCCGAGCTCGAATTGATACTGGCCGAAGGGGCTGGGTTACGGGGAGGCTATAGGTGAGTAATCGCTCTAACGTTGGCCTAAACCCGGCCAGCCTGAATACGCAAGGACCCAAATCGTACAAAAAAACTACGCTGTTACTCAAAGTCATCATCACTCTAACATTACATAGAATCGGAAAATATCTGCAGTAATGAATCAAAAGAAGAAGGCCGTATTCTTGGCAATGGGATTTTCAAACAAAACAAAATATCTTTTAGAAAAATGCTCAAACTCTTGGAATTATATTGGAGAACGTAGAAATAAACTTGAATTTTACATTTCGTACGTAGGGTAAAAATTTAGGGATAAAGGAAATTTTTTCTTATTATAAGATAAGATTATAAGATATGCTCTACAACAAATAAAGAGTAAAAAAAAAAACCTTAAATCGTTGAAACAAGCATAGGTATATATAATAATAATATCATGATGGTAATGATAAGGATACCATGTTATGCATTTATACATGTATACAAGTACGTACATTTTTGAATTTTCAGTACCACTGATAGCTTGGCGAATCGTGATAGGTGCAGGGTGGGTCAAATATCGCTTTACGACGGGCCATTGGCCCAGTATGGCGAGGGAGGCAAGTACGGCGACCTGTTTGTCGCAGCGTTAAAGTCTTACGGAATGCTGTGCATTGGTCTGTACAGGTACAGGTATCGGACTTTCTTTCTTCTCGATGGTATTTATTGGATTTATACATTTTTACGTATACACCCCCATCGTTTTTCGACTGTATCACAATTTAAGTGGATGCAGATTCTGCCCGACTATTCTCTGCGTCTGGGCTCTGTATCTTTTTTCTATTACTATTACGATTACTATTATAATTATTATGTAACATTTATTACTATCATAATTATTATGTACCATCTGTTTATTTCTACTGTAATGTTTATGACAATGGATGAGCCTTTTTTCACCATTTTTCACATGTCGCAATCTAAGATACTACTGTGATTACTTTTTTAATTTTTATGTTTTGCCACACGCATCTTTTGCATCTTGCGTTTTTGCATCACGGCACGTGACGAGCAAACGAAAAAATTTTGATGAAATTAAAAAAAAAAAAAAATAATAATAATAATCATAAAAATGGAAAAACATTGTTATAATTGTTGATGAAATGTATCGAGCGCAGTAAGTTTTTTTATCCAACAAATATCATTTTTGAATTTTTCCGTCTCTAATTTTAATTGTCTTTTGTGTTACACACACTGTATTTTTGTGCCTACTGTCTTTAACTAAACTTTTAACCACGTAAAAGGATTAGTACTTAGCTCGCCGCTGCTTGATACTTAGTTTAGCTAAAAAAAAAAATTTTTTTAGGTTCGCTTTGGCTTCATAGCTTTAGTTTTTTTCTCTCTCTCTCTCTCTTTCCTTCTCCACCTCCGTTCCAATTATGTTTTAAAACAATTTTTCTTTCTTCACAATGAATGGAAGGATCAAACACATAAAAAGACATGTGCAAGCCCGTGTGTGCGTGTGCATGAGCGTGCGTGTACGAAAGCACGAGCGTTTCCACGTCTTACGTGAAACTGATACCTTGTCAATCGCTTCTTCCAGATTTCGCGACACGAGCTCGTCCTGCGATGCATCCTCGAAGCGTTACGTTATAACGAATCCACCCGACGATTTCACACTGCTGCCGACCGATCAGGTAAGGAAATCATCAAGCCCCTCCTGCCGCGTGATCTGAGATAACGAACCAGCCGACTTGCAGGTTTTTGTGCTGATGCAATTCGACCCGGGCCTGGAGTACAAGCCGAGCCGCGGTGCCCGGAACAAGGACGACGCTTCCTGACTATTGCTGTGTAGCTCCCTCACAGACGGACCGTACTCTTATGTTTAAGCGGATGACGCATCCAACGGTAACGCAAGCCGTGCCGCGCTGCCGCCGACAACGACGACTTCACCACGACGCCCCGTGCCTCCCTTTCGTTGCGAATCGATATCTCCTTGGAGCTGGAATAACTACGTCGAAAACGACGCCTACGGCCACCAAGAAGACGATCACGCTGACGTATGGATGATGATTCGGAAACACGCGCGCGTGCAGTTATTACTTTCTCCTAAATGTAGTGGCCTAACTCGCACCCCACGACGCTCGCCATGCCCCGCTACTGTGCCAATTCATCATCCGTTATTACCCACAGTTACGGCGAATCGGATCAATGTAAAAAAAAAAGCCAGGGCTCACTTACGCGTTACTACTATACTACTACCACTGCTGCTACTACGACTAATCCTTCTAGAGATCGCCCAGCCCATCAATGTTAACAAGTTGATAACAATGGAAAAAAAACTTTGCAGCAATATTGAAGCTCTACTCATATCTGTGTGGCTCGTTAAAATGAAGTTTGTTGAGACGCACGTATTCATCTGGACATTCAGGTGAGAGAAAGAAAAGAAGATGCGCACAAATAATAAGTGAATGAGAAGCGCACACCAGCACGGGCGGAAGGGACGAAAAAGCTTCGAGAGTACTCGCAGTAAAAGTACATGCAAACACACACAATCATGCACATATACAAGCTTAGCGAATGTGTAGCTTGTGTGTGCACACGGGCACGAGAAAGTTTAGTGTGAAGACGCCAGGCGACGCGACAAGATTCATTATACGGTCCAGAGGGTAGCTACACGAACGTCAAAAAGTATAGGATTAAAAGTAGAAAAAAAAAAAAGAAAAAAAAAAGAGACGAAGAGATAGCGACGAATTCGCGAATTTCGAACAGATATAGGCGAAAGCACGTTCGGAAACATTCGAGAGTCAAGTCCACAATATAGGAAAAGTATAATATGTACATATGCACACCCATCACGATTCCATTACCTGGAAACAACATCGCGGCTCCAGATTTTTCACTCCTTACATTTTTTACGCTTGATTTGCGCAGCTTGACCTTCGTGTAAGTGGCACACACAATGCATGCATACATACCCAAGAACGGTGTATAAATAACGAAGGCTTTTAACGATTCGTTAAATTGCGTAATAAAAAATTTACTACTATTATCATTATTACTACTACTACTACTATTACTACTACTACTGCTACTACTACTACTACTACTACCACTACTACTACTACTACTACTACTACTACTACTACTACTATTACTACTACTACTGCTACTACTACTACTACTACTACTAATACTACTACTACTACTCTACTAATCTTGTTACTATCACCACTAATAATTAATAACTAATAATAATAACAATAATAATAATTATAAAAAAGTAAATAAATAAAAAATAATAAAAATAGTAATGAAAGAGATCGTGAAAAGAAATGGTGCGTGTATATATTAAATATGAGACGTGAGGCTTTGTTCTCAGGAGATGGAGTTTCAAGCTGTTAAATGTAAGATACAAGTTTTGCACAAAGTACTTGTACATTAAATTACGGTGTAACAAATTCAAGACTAACTTCTGATTTATTCAACAATGTATAGCAGAGTACGATTGCAATCTTCAATATATATATGTGTGTGTCTACGAGAACACGGCATGGTAACATGGTGATGTGTGAATAGTACTTACGGCTCAATGTTAGGACACCGAATTGTTTTTTTTTTTTTTTTTTTCTGAATGCACACCAACTTTGATGGTATACTCACTCTGCACTTACTCACTTTCGTGTCTACTAATTGATGGTCAAAACTTCTATGCTTAAGTACTCGTTGTTGTAGGAGTTCATAAAAAGATCTGATTGGAATCGGGCATTGGCATTATAACTATCAGTTCAATGCTGTGGCACCTTGGTTATCACATGAAAGAAAAATTTGCTTTGAGATAATTTCAATCAAAGAAATTTCCATAAAAATCAAAATTTTGCTTTAATTGTTTCACGAGATATTTTACACTCAACACAATTTCAGCATGGCTAGAGCTCTACTGGAGGCGAGTCTGTGTTAATGTGAGAGCAAAATAAACGCCAAACTGGTGCGCTGGTCGCTCAGATCCTCCATTATTTCATACAGACACGAACCTCTAAAAAACACGAATGACGCAACTACCGTTTGTTGGAGACCAAATTGATAGCTATACTGTACCTACATATTATATATTCTTCATGTAGTTCCTTGCACCGTAGGTGTACGCAAGTTGCGCAAAAAATTCTTTTAATGTGTGCACAGCCACGCTTCAACACTTATATAATTATGTACGATGTATTTGGCTGCAGTCAAGGTAATCTCGAGAGATTTTTTCGAGCCGCGGACCTTGTCGACTCTTTGCACACGTTCGAATGATATGAATTATCATTAAAAGTCGAAAAATCAGTGAGTGCGAAGTAATGTGCGTGAGCAACCAAAACAAGGGAGATTAGATTAAATATTTTAAAAAAAATGATCAATCATATGGCAAAAATAACATTGAATGAGAAAAAAAATTGATAATAATTCTATTACCATGCGAAAACCAAGCACGAACCGAGAGACGTCCGGAGTCAACATAAGCAATGAACATTAAACGCTCGTACTTTTAAGCCAAATTCTCCCCCTCAAAATTCAAAATGCCTTTGTTTCATTGACCTACCGAAAACAACGTAATCGCCGCCTAACATAAAGCAAAGTGTAATAACGTATCTTGCCGTGGAATTGACGTGGCATCAGCGTTTCTTGGCTCCCAACTTACACTTGAAAAAGTTAACGAAGCCATGCGCGAAATAAGCAAAAAGCATCAAATGAAATCCGATGAACTACAATGTGGCCAATCAACTACAAGTCAAGAGCCAGAAATGAGATCGATCCTTAATATCGTATCGAGTCAATGGAAAACGAAGGAGGCGCCGGATGAACGTCGACAAGAATACACCGGGAAATGAATGTATACTGATCGCCTTTTGGGCGACTTGGCTGTGCTGCTTGACTCGCAAGTCACGTTCGTTACTCCGTACACGTAATCATGTCTCATTTGTAAATTAAATTAATATAAATTAGAACACTCAATCAAGCCATTTGTACAGCTTTTAAATGTACATAATATACATGAAACAAAATGTAATAGTTACAATGTAAGAGAAATAGTGAAGCTTGACCTTTTCAAGGCAAAAAGCACACCCATTTTTCCATACGATTTTGAGTACAAGACAAACAAACAATATCGGTTGTACATTCGTGTAATTGTGTGCGTGCATGTGTGTGTATAGTTACGCACGTGTGTACATCTCTATGTGCATACGGTATTCATAGATTTATGCACATTACATATATATACATTGTGCGTGAGTGTATAATATACGAGATTGCAGATGTGAATAAATAAAATTTGTGTATAAATATATGGACATTCTCTCTTTTATATATTTTTTGAAACTTACATATGTATATAGGCCGAAATTCATTACAATGTGCGAAAAAACCTATTATGCGCATATATAACTGTGTAGTTAAATCACGTGATCGAGAAAGACGCATGGTCGTGGTTTACCTATAACTGAATCGATGAAAATTTAAAAACCAAAAATTTAAGACGAATATCTATAATAGTATAGCTATACTTGTGTGTGTTTATTTGTAAAAACATTCAAGTGGCACGTTTCCTACGATACTGACGTGGACTCATTTTTTGTTGGACTCATTAATTGTTTTTATTTGTTTTATTTATATTTATCAATTTAAAACTAAATAAACGTAAGAAAACAAAAAGTTTTTTTTCTTTAATGCAGCAAAAAAAAAAAACATCAAGTGGCTCAAGAATGTCAGTAAAGTAGGAAGGGAGGTCAAAGGCTTCATGAAAACTCGTGCTTCACTATCTCTGACATTTCTTTTTTGATACAGGAAAATAAAAATAATAATAATAATAATAATAATAATAATAATAACAACATAGACGTTGGTGACTGAATAACACAAACTTAATGTTACACAATTATTGTTATCGTTGTTGTTGTTGTTGTTGTTGTTGTTGATGTTGTTGTTGTTTATATTAACTCGGTAGTTTAACACAAGCGTTTTAAAATTTCTAGCAGAGCTGATAGATATAGTCAAAGTACTTTTTCATGAGTGCATGTGTAGATGTGCGTTGGATTAAATTTTTTTTTTATCAAATGAGTCGGCAGGTGTCATTCTTTGAACTATGAAATTAAAAAAGTAAGCTTCCTGCATTTTTTATCTATACCCACTGCAGCGGAAAAATAAGAATTGTACGTTAAGACGGACATTTTTACAACTTTTTTAAAAATTAAATAAACAGATACGAGACCTTCTCAGCCATCTTTAACTATACAGTGTAATAGTCGATAGCCGTAAAAACATGTTAAACAAATAAAAAATATTGATGTTGATGGATAATATCAACATCCATTGATAAATATTTTAAGTATTAAATTGTTTATATCAAAAGTGCCATTAGCCCAAAGAGACAAGAAAAATACTAAATCCCACATTGCTCACGCCAACTAGTAATACCTCCATTATAAACATTAACGTCAACTTTACTGCTTGAAAATGTTCGATGTGTGCGTAAAGACAAATTAAAAAATAGTATAAAAAATTTTTCGTACGGAAGCACGAGATAGGGTACAGCTAAGCGCCTTTTTCCTTCCATCAATGATCGAGCTTGACCTCTTGATTTACGTAGGAAGCGTCGCCACTGTTTCGTCTAAATATGATTGCAAATGCCAGCGGAACGGAAGAAAAAATTGAATCTCTTCAACTAAGTATAGATAAATTATAAAAAGATTAGATTTAAAATTACTAGTTGTGGTAAAGGCTATCGTATATTTGTAAGTACATTGAGTGAATAGAAGGCGAATAATTATACTAGAAAGAAAAAAAAAATTAACAATATAAAACAAAAAAAACGCTGTTGTTGCTGCAATATCCACATGCACTGTTCACTGCCATCGCAGTTTGTGTGACTTATCGTACGACTAAGAAATAAAAATATTATTGTACATTTTACCTCATCTAAACATATTATTGCGTACATGTACGATCATGTGCAGTCGCGCATGAGTACGCGAGCACACTGATTAAGGGCTACTGCACAAAACTGAAACATGTATAGCAGGAACCTAAACAGTGATGCTAAAAAATAACGTAGATTTGGATATCTAAGCCTCAAGTTATCATTATAAGTAAGTGATTCACTGCTTATGTATCTGCATATCCTCAATATCTTAGTTTTGTGTGGTACTTCCGACAAGCATAAAGATTTGATACATCGTGGCGAGGAGGTCTGGCGCGTATCAGGCAACTTTTACCTTTTATTTACTATTGAGTTCTATTTATTCATGTTTCACATGGAATTCAAAAAAATTTACTACCAACACCAGTTGTTCTAGATTACCACTGTTACTAATATTATTGCTACTATCATCATTATTATTGTCGTAATTTTTTTTTTTTTTTTTTTTTTTTTAATGTGACTCAAAAATAAATTGTTCGACTCAACTGGCCTTCCGAGTTTATAGGCACTGATGGAGCTCTTTTATTAATTAAATATTGAGGGAGGCTGTACACAATTAACATTTAAAAATGTTCAAACTCGAAATCTATTTTAATGGTTTCTGTTTTCACGATTTAAGTTTGCTTATATCATTAAAAAAGATCGCTTATACTCCACGCCGACATGTATTATAGCCAAATTCATTGACATTTCTCAATCCCAAAATTTTATTTACATCAACAATAGCATTTAAACCGAGAGCTATGGTGGTTTGAGAAATAAAAAATGACTTGAAATTTTAATTTTAAATTTTGCAACTTTCTTCATCGAAGTAAAAAAAAAAAAAAAAAAAATTAATTCTTGATACACCAGATATTTAATGTAATTTTTACCGCTTGAAATAATAATTTTTTTTAGTTTCCTTGTTTATGAATCGATATTTGAAGTTTCGTGATGATACCTACAAAGGTATACATTAATTGAAAAAAAAAAAAAAATTTTTTTCCACTTTCTAGTTTTAAAACGGCATTCTTGTCAATCATACGCGGATGAAATTGGAACATATTTGACTTCTGACATTAATTTGTTGTAAATTACAAATATTCGCTTTATCTCGACCTCGAGCTTATACAACGATGTTGTGTTGAAAAATTTGAAGATGGGATAATTTATGGTGCTGCGTGTTTTTTTTCCACCACGTGAATGCTGCGTGCTGTGCACTCGCCGCGTACATACCTAGAAAAAATGGAAAAAAAATAAAATAAAATAAATTTACTAGCCCCTTCACCGAGCAGCCATCGGGGAACTAAAGACTGCTGACGTAATACGTACCTAAGGCATTACAAATATTTATAACAAAATTTAAAAAAAACCTGGTTAAATAAAAATCTTTTAATTCCGATCTTACTTTAACTGTAGAATGCGTGTGTCAATAAACTTTTGGCACTTTGTGAACTGCGTATGCTTGTATATTAAAAAAAAAAGTGTTGTGCACATTGTTGAATCAAAGACGTAAACGATACTAGTAAATAAAACAATTTTATATAAATATAACTACATACAAGGAATTTTTCTCTATTTGATTTTTGGATTAATAACAAATTTGTCTATTACTTAATAAATTAAAAATAGATTACTATTATTCACTATCATCAATAATTTCATGATGGTAGCATAGCTCCATTAAAATTACTCTTGCTGTACAGTTGGTTTCACTAAGTAATTTTTTAAAATATTTATTTCGACACATCACAATCTTAGCTCATTAAGTTAAGAATTTTTTTATTTTATCCAAGTGAATCATGATAAGGATTAAATCTTATTATTTTTATTCTGCTTTGCCTAAAAGTTAATTGATTCAGCAAGAGTGTTTCCAATTAAAAAATTTCATGTCTCACGTATTACGCTGAAAATAGTAGTTATTTATTATTAAAATACAGCATCATAATAAAAGTTATGACTGAAATAATTTGACCGTTGAATTAAGAACCTATATTTAAAAAGTTCATATGTTTCATCATAACTTTTAATCTCGCTTTTAATACAATACAATATTTCAATTTTTATAATTAATTAAAATTTTTTGAAATTTTTTTATAATTTTTGATACAATGAGTGAGGCTTGAAATTTTTTAATTAAAGTTGAATATTTATATTAATAACTCACCATGATTTGCTTAAATAAGTTTAAAAAAGAATTTTTTGATTCCTTATTATGAGTATTGCTTCAATAAACTTTTTTTGTTACCTGTTGAACAGCTAAAACAGTCTTAATGATTATTAATAAATCAATATTAAAGGTAAAAAGTTGTCGGTGAAAATCTCAACCTCACTCGCTCCAATAAATTTGAGGAAAAAATGTAAAAAATTATAACTGAAAATTTGGGCATTAGATTTGTTTGCCATTTATTAACTAAATCGTGATAACACTGCGTAATTTTGTAGACTAATAAACAACCATCTGCTCGTCTTGATGGCTTGGCCAACGATCCTTGGGTGCTTCTTTGTGAATTTTTATGCTTTTTTATACTCTATATTTCATGCTCGCTTGCTCTTTAAAGTAAGTGATGCTTTGTATATTTGATGTGCGCGTGGACAAAAAAAAATTATAAAAATTGTTATAACAATAATATAATACGATAGAAAGTATTGGTAGTAATTAAAAATTGATTTGAGTATGATTAGATCGTGTTAGTTATATTGAAAGTAAATAGATTATTTAATCATTTGATCATACATGTTTTATGGTCATTAATTAATTTATTGTTTTTTAAGCAGGTGATAAGTTAAATCATAAAAATACTGAAAAGTCTTACAACTTAATACTTTTTTTAATCACTAGATCATACGATGGTGAGAAATTTTTTTTGACAGACACGTTGCAATTTATCATCTTGTAAAATTATGGTTACTTGGATTGTCCTTATTTTACAAAACATATTTTGCATACTGCAAAAAAAACTATTACTATCAATAATGATGTAAATTTAATACATGCATGTGAGTTAATTGTACGTAACTATAAAGACATCAATTGTTTAACTCATTTGGTCGACAAAAATATTCGTTTTTTTAATATTTTTAAAGTACTCTTTATCGAAGATCGACTTTTTGTCAATATTAAAATCGATAACTGTTTTGGGCACATATATATGTGCTCACGTGTGTGTATGAACATATATATTATATAATGTACATCGATAATACAACCCATAAGTCGAAAGGGATCGTTGGCGACCACGAGGTGTAAGCAGTCTGCACACTCTTTTAAAATAATTAAATAATGCACCAAATTACCGATTCATTCGCTCATACTCCTCTTCGAATTTTCGTTCACACATTTTTATTCCCATCAAAGTTAGTATTTTTCACGTTTATGGGTCGTATACATTAATTGTACATTAGGGCAGCGAATAAAATTAATAACAAGAAAAAAAGAGAAAGGTGTGTCGATTTCGTATGATTATTACTCAAGTAGAAATGGACAGACTTGTAAAAATAAAAAATTAAAAAAAAAACGATATCACTGCAGCTAAATGAGCTGCATGAATGAAATTATTCGATCCCGACTGCAACGTATAAAAATATATGTATGAAAATGGCAAAACAATGGCTACTAAAAACATTATTCTAGAAAGACATGAAAATAATAATTATTGTAAAAGGGGAGTACAATGGATGAATTTAAAGCGAAAAAATCAATACACTAAGAATTAAAAAAAAAGGCGCGCAGAGCGTAAGCCACCCTAGAATGCCTCATTAAACTTCATGAAAATATATATATATNTATATATATATATATATATATATATATATATATAACACATACATATATATATTGCTTTTTTTATCTGTACATTTACAATTTGTGTACCAATGAGAAAATGTTGTTCAATCATGTTGTTGATGTTATTGTTAAAAATGAGATTCAATATTGTACATAATTAAATTCATTATAATTGACGATATGATGATTATATACATAAAAAAATGAAAAAAGTAAATATAAACAAGATTTAAAAAATGTTATTTCTTTTTTTTCCAAATTCACAGCCTTATTCACATATTTGACACGTGCAGCAAAAGGATGTAAAATTCTGAAAAATTCGAATGACACGCATCATCCAATAATTTCGTACTTATTTATTTTTTGAAATTTTTTTTTTCCATGAATACGATAAAAAGTGTCTCTATCTCAATAGATTTCACTTCTCATCTTTGAACATATTTTCATACAATGCACGTATCTAGACAAACTAACTTGCTATGCGTTGATCCACAGGTCGTCATAGCAAAGGACGTTCTTGGAGCTCTTGGATGGCAAAAGCTCGTACGCGTGATAACTCGATATAAGCCGGTACTTTCGTCCTCCAGATTGTATATAGATTGTCTCAATTTTTCGAGCATGTCACCAATGAAATGAAGTTCCTGGCGGCAGCTTAAAACATTGCGGTGAGAGAACGAAAGATAAAAACCAGCGTCGTCGTAGTCGGATGAATTAAATGTATATGCACTACGCGTGCTCTTTCTACGGCGCGGGCGCACTATACTTAGGATTATATTGCACACGACACGTAAAAACAAAAAAAAAAAAAACAAAAAAATATAACGTAATATGTTGCAATGATCATAACAAATTTATAGTTAAATAACCCTGCGTGCGGCCACAGAGTCTCATGCATGCAGTGCGAAAAGATGTCAGACAGGCTCTTATATTCAACCGCCTCAAATATCATAAATCTGGCGAGGAACTTAACGATAGTCTGCATTGGGAGAGCGCAACTTTGCTTATCTTTTTTATTTTTTAAAGAAAACATCTTTTTTCTCTCTTTAAATTATCGAATAAAGCTCTAAGTACTTGGACATTTACCGATTTTACTCTTGTTGGTGGATTATACTTCATTGAAAAAACCATTTGAATACAAAAATAAAACAGGAAGCCCAAGGACCTGAAAATCCAGCTGCAAGTTCAAAATAACCAAAAGTGAACAATTCACAGTTAATCTACCTGTTAATTTTCTCTCAAAATTACAATAAAAAAAAATACCTCGAAAAAGACTATAAAATTTTATCATACCACTGATTTTTGCAAGAAAAAGAAAAATTTTTATTCTTATGGTTATGACATGAATAATTTTATAATAGAATGGGTATTTATTGATTATATTTTTTTCACATCTGTTAATTTTTGTTAAAGTTACCTCAAATTATGCTGTGATATTTCATGTCTCTTCCACCAGGTTTCACGTTAAATTCTATCTTTGGTTTTGATTTTAACGATAAACGTGAGTATTGTTTATGGCTCCTAAATTTTGACACGATTTTTATAACAATTTAATGAATGAATTTAAGTTTTCAAGAATTTTTAATTTCCGTGATAGCATCCCCTTAAGTAAGCAAGGATGAAGCCTCACGGCGTAAGCATAAAAAAATCGCGAGTATTGAAATTGGCAAAATAAAACTGGGATGAGAGAAAAGAGCAGCATAGAAACGTGATCGCAAGTCAAGTCAAGGGTCAAACAGATGAGATACCGGCTGCTGCTTGAAGACATTATGGAGCTCGAGGTAAAGCGCAGTCGACAAAATGTTTTGAGAGCCGAACGAGTTCAACCAGACATTTAGCTGTACAACTCAATAATAGTAGACTGACCATTAGCCGGCACTAGGTACTCTCCTTGTCAATCTTCCATCGTTTAATACAAGGTAAGCCCACATCCAATATATCAGCTCAGGACTCGGATAAGAAAGAGATATTCTATAGAATAGTTGGAAAGAGCAGCCGTATTTGTCTTCCTTCAACAAAGAGCAGATCGAAAATTATTTTTCTTTGAAAATTTTTTAGTGACAACACCTCTACTTCATTTGTGGACACTTTTTTGCCATTCCAAAAAAAAAAAAAAAAAAAAAAATTCTTCCCGAGGTAGTTACTTTTTCCAAATGAAAAATAACTTTTTCTTTATTCAAGCCGTGCAAGTAAATCGCATTATATTTCTGGCACATGCTTAACCTTAAATAGTGCTGCGCATATATTGGGAGCATATTTCACATCACAGCACCAACAGATAATTATTACTAGTAATCCCCTGGACTTTTTAGAAATATTTGGATCCATAGTATATCGAGGGGTCTGGTTCAGTGCTTCTATATGTGTGATATCGTTCGAAATTGACCGTCACGTTACCCACAGTTTGAACAACAAAAATGTGAAACTCCCAAACTCGAAAATGATCGGGTACATAGAAAATCTAAATCAGACTCAGACAAGTCAATTCATTCGAATAACTCATAATTTGCCTCGCGAATTGAGATCCAAGATCGGTATATTGTAAGACGCTGAGATGGAGATGAGCGTGCTGTATTATATCGGCGTGGCAAACGAATGTTAACGTATGTACGTGCATCCCTTCCCTCCCAACTCTTTCTCGTTCATTCGATCTTTGGTGCAGTTTTAAAGATGAAGATTCAACTTTTAGAACTTATCTCTGGAAGTCAGCAGGTGGTTATTCGAATATATGTGTGATCCTTTAATTGACATTTCGTTCATACTGTCTTATCTAACCGGCTTTTGGCTCATTGTAGTATATTTCGTTTTTGGCTGTCACTTCGATTGGTTAATTGCGTTACATTAAAGTTTTTCAAGTCATAATTTAAAATTAATAGATTTTAACGTGAAACAAGTGAAAAGTATTTGCATGATGTTGTCTTGACTCCCCGAGAAGAACATAACGTTGAAAAACTTTGGCCACGTAATCTTATCTCATTAGATAACTCATCGAAGAACTTTGAACTTAAGTAGTGATTTCTATAACATTAGTGGCATCAACTTTTTTTTATTTGATAAGTTTACATCTTTAAGCTATCATATCTGAGCCAACGGAATAAATACAAGTTTTGGCACTCATACGTGGTATGGATTAATAGGGGAGTACATCGTACCAAGTGATTGCAGTAAAATTTAAAACATTCAACAAGGGCTGTATAAAGTTAATAAGTCTATAAAACTTTTTACATTTTTATTCACGTGTACAACTAACACTTTATCATTATTATTATTATTATTTTTTTTAAATCCTTCCATCTGGTAAAGCTAATAAAATATTACTGGCGTAACTAAAACTGGTTACGTACCACAGACGGAAGTAAGTAATGCTCAGATTGCAAGCGGTATAAAAAAGAACAACGCAAACGAGTTCATAAAAGGTTTCAACTGAGACAAAATAACAAAAGGTAACCCCTAAGGTATCTGCATAAATTAGATTTATAAAGTGGATACATAAATTATATGTAATTCTACTGAAATTTACAAGCTTACATGTAAAACAAAGGCTCGCGTAATTTGATGCATGAATTTTTTTTTTAAAATGAATCAAAACAAACTTCAATCAATTAATAATTAGAGACACTAACATGATGAACATCTGTCTTTTGTACACACAATATACAGGTAGGTGTATCAGGGGTTAACTTTATGATTTTATCCGATTTGTTAGCTAATTATTTTGATCTCAGCTGATATATTATAGAGCGTATAGCTAACATATTACCTTGTTTTTCCTAAGCAACAAGCTAGTCTTGCCATATTAATTATTTATGATGATATTAATTCTTGAATATGAAAGTAAAAGTTAAAAAATGGGTATGACAATGACTTGGCGGTGATCTTTCTACAACAGCCTTTGTGTAAAAAGAAAACTATGATTAAATGTATTTAAGTTTACAAAATAAAGCTGTATCAAATTTAAAAGGCATCGATTTTTAATAAAGTTAAATAAACGTACTTAAAAATACGCAATGTCACGATAACTCCTTAATTGTAACCATCGTTTCGTCGCACGACACATCCCATTAGCATGACATTTTAACCTCTCCCTATCAACGCTTCTCCCCAATACATTAGCGCAAGAAAGTCTCACAAATAAGTTTTCTTTTGTACCGCTGTCGGGCGATATGAATTTTTTATTTGCACTGTTAATACATTTAGCGATGTTTTTTTTTTTTTTTCTTTTCTTTTTCAATACGAAAATAACGATGATTCCGTAACTTAACGAGATAAGTGTACAAGTACTATATAAGCAAACTTCTAATCATATCTGTATGACACTTTGTGATTTATACAACCTACTGTAATGATAAAGTGCAACAGATAGCAATCAAAATTATATACAGGTGAATGTCATGCCGAAATATGATTTTTCATTTGCACGACGAGGGTACACACGCACATATTGATACATAAAGTACGAACGTTAATCAATTTTATTTACGTATAAGTGAGTTTAATCACTGGAGACGTAGAATATAAATCATAATAAGCAGAGAAATTTAATTAGAACAGTTGTATCGAGCGATAAAAAGTGGTTATCAGCGCAGTTGACATCATAAATATTCAATCAACTATTGCGTTTAATAAAAAAATCGCGAGAGCGACCGATGGAATCGTTAAAAAATCGTTTTCTCAGTATTTATTGCATTTTTTGTTGTTTCATTGGCAATCTCAAATCAAAACTCAGTCTGAAGTTGTTAAAAATAGAATAAAAAAGATGAATCGAATCACACAAGTTCGTCTGTTCTACAGTCAACGAACACAATTAAAAATCTCCATCTGAAATATGATTCCGTCCACCCAATTCATCTCCCTATTTCTTTCTTTCTCTTTTTTACTTTTCTTCAAACGCAGAAAAAAAAAAAAAATGGCAACGAGCAAAAATTCCATATCTCCTGATTTGGTATACATCATGAGTGGTGACACCAAAAGCACGCGCGCGATAAGAGTTGCAGACTCTCTCCCTCTCTCTATTCTCGACTTTTGTGTTTCAACAGTTAAGTAAAAAGAGCGACGGTAGCAGCAACAGCAGCTACACAGTGATAGATCGAGTGCAAAGAAAACCCGAGGGATAAAGTAAGGAGGAGAGAGAAAGAGAACAGACGAACTGGAAACAGCAGCGGCAGTAGAAGGAGGAGGCGCTTGGCTATCGTCTAGACGAGGCTTTCTTACAGACTACTTGCCGGGAGGAGCGAGCTTAACTCGCCACCAGATAGCCATTTTTAGCTGGGAGTTTCGCTGTTTTTTCGACGCCCGTGTCTTTTATGAGACAGAGGGCGAGGTATTGGAGTGCTTGCTTTGCGCTACGAGTACGCGGACAACCGGAACTATGGCAAGGCCGAACGTCAGGAGGCGACACGACACTGCCGATCTGCAACTAGAGTCCGTGGCTAGGCTCTCCAGACTGCCGATCGTCGAGAGCGGCATCCATATCGCCGGCAATGTTTATGACAAAATTAAGGTACGAGCATACGTGTTTCTATCACCTTTTCCGTACTATATGTTTTATTAACTCTTCCTACCACCCCCCGCCCCCACCACCAAAACATTTCAAACCTAATAAATACTGCAAAAATTTATAGTAATAATAACAGCAGTTTATGAGCCTTCGATCGATGCTTGGACATTCAGCTAAATAGATTTGCAGTTTCCAACTTCTTTTTTTTGTTGATTGCAAAACATTCAAGGCTAATGATGAAGCAACATCTATAAATTTAAAAATATTTATTCCACGTTACTTAGTTGATGACCCTCGTGCAAATAATCTTTGTGCAAATAAAGTAATAACATGTAATATAAAATGTTTGTCCCGACGCGGGCGTTTTTTCTCAGATTTTGGCTGTTTGTTAGACCCTCTCCTTAAGACAAATGTTGTTAGCAAAGAGTGTACATTTAACCGGGACGAAAACAAAGATATGGTCGAATTTTATTTGCATCGGTTACAAAAACTAACATTTTTATTTGTTTATTATTATTCGGTTAGCCATGCGAAACAATGTTACGACACGCAAAAATATGATATTGGTACGAAAAAAAAGTTTTGATTTTTTTAACAACTACCGCGTGAACCTCCAAATCATAAAATGATATCAATCAAATAAAATGATCACTGTACTTTTTTAACAGCTTAAAAAATACGAGTATTATTGAAAAATTTAATGAACTTAAATTAAAACATATAAAACATACAAAACACAACTAGTGTAATATCGTTTTATCATACTGACGCATCGTGAGATTTTGGGAGTTATTACGTAGTTGTTAACTTAAATATTACATTAAATAGCACTCAAACTCATTGATGAACTGGAGCCTCGACACCGCAGAGCAGTCCCTAGCCCTGGCCACGGCAACAGCCCTGCCAGCCGTGATCGTCTTCAACGGGCCAATCACGGCTCTCGATCAACTACTCTGCAAAGGCATCGAAATTTTCGAGCAACGCGTACCGGCTGTTAATCTTTCACCGCATCTAGTATGTATATACTGTTAATTTTACATATGTATTTACCATCATAAGTGATAATGTGCGATATAAGCAAGTTAATGGCAGAAAACAGCACACAGCTAATAAACAAATAGTAATAATAATAATTACAATAATAACTGTCATGGTTGTATTAAAGCAACGAGAAAAAAAAAGAGCAATAATAATAATAATAATAATAATAATGACGATGAGCTAACGATATGTGTGAAAACGCTGTGGTGTGCTGCAGATGTACTGGAACACGCGAGAGTACGTAAACAAGAGATTCGTGAAACCGATGCTGATAAGGGCGGGCAGCGTCAAACAGATCGGTAGTGTGGTCGCTAATGCAGCTGTCGAGAAGCTCGACGATGCCATCGACGCGGCCGACCACTACGTCGATCGTTACCTACCTGCTGACCCGGCTGACAAAGTTGCCGAAAGTAAGTATATATGTATACGTTGATAATACTCAGTCTGGTGTAAAAATACCTACAATGACATGTCATGGGTGCGTGTAATGTTTTAGAAACATCTAGCGACTCGGGGGCTTACTCGCACCGAGGCAAGGACAGCGTGGACTGCGGTGGGGCGAGCAGTGGTAGCAAGGCAGCGCGCACAATAGAGCACGGCGCCCGCTTCTCCCGCAAGCTCCAGCGCAGGCTGACACGGCGCACCCTGGCCGAGGCTCGGGCCCTCAAGGAGCAGGGCACCGAGTGCATTCATGTGCTGCTCTACGTTGTCGAACTGGTAACGGCAAACACGAAAAAAAAAAAAAAAAAAAAAAACCAACCTGCGCATACACACACATGCGGGGGAAAAACAAAAAAAAATCAACTTTTGCGCGTGCAGGTGGCAACGGATCCCAAGCTAGCCCTTCAGAAGGCCAAGGAGCTGTGGGCGTCGCTGAGTCTACCCGAGCCGGGAAACCAGGCCCGGCCGACGAACCTCGAGCAGCTGCTGGTTCTGTTCACGCGCGAGACCGCGCGCCGCCTCGTCCACCTGATCAACGGGACGACGAATCTCGCCACCCGAGCGCCCCGCCGACTCGCCCGCATCTTTCTCAGGCTGTCGCACCGGGTGCGCATCATCTCCGAGCAGGCCCTACAGGTTTTTACAAACTCCACACTTGGATGTTGGACAGCAGTGGCAGCAACAATGAAAACCGAGATGAAAACTCAAACACGAGCTATACCCCAACACATTGCGTACCGCCCGGCTGTTGCTGCTGCTGTTGCTGTCCCAGCACCTGATGGTCTTCATAGTTAATATATAATAATAGACAAACCGTGTACGAATGTTAACTTTTCGAGAAACCATTGGAGTCAGCCAACCACGACCGGGGGATCGGACGAGTACTTCTTTACTTTCGAAATAAATAATTTGTCGAAAAAAATTCCTATTGGCCATAGAGGAACCAACGGGTGGTACCCACTACCACCTACGGTTGCTATTCGCTGCAAATTTAAAACCTATTTTGCGTTTATCGAGCAAAACTTTTCATTTTACCAGAATTACTTTTTTCAATCAATCATAAATTTCCAACGTGGCGATTAATCAAAGCAACGGCTTTTACACTCTACAAATCCATATGTTTAATATATACCTACTCTCATTGTGACGGTTATAAATGTTTTGCAGGGTAAGTTGCTTTAACTACATTGTCCAGCCATCAGGGGATGCTGGCTGATGATAAGAGTATGTGAATTGATCAACCTCTATAAATAAAATTACAAGTCGATGGCCCAGGGAAAGAAAGCGCTGTCTTAGAAATGCGGATTTTCTCAAATTTTTTTCAGCGTTACCAAGACCAAAAAACTATAATGATACAAATATTTTGAAATCTATATCTCACTGCCAAAGGCATTGCAAAAAAAAAGAGCTCTTTCAACTTACAAAAACATATTTTCTGAGATTTCTTATCAATAAATTTGAGATGACACTTTTTCCCAGCAAATTTAAGATATCGCCTTCATCCCGAAGAACTTGAGACGATGCTTTCGTGTCACAAGCCATTGATGCAGATATACAGGTCACTCCATTGTAACTTGCAATAGTTAGATCGTGATGGGACTGGACTACACTCCAGAAGCCGGGGACAAAAGTCATTCAAACTCTTTAATTATTCAAGGCATTGCTATCATAGAGAACATAACAGAAAGGCTTTTTCGAATTTTAGAAATCAGTGAATAATTTTCTAACTCCCTCAAAAAGTTTAAAAGATTTTTTAAGTCATTTAATGTCAGTACTGGACAGTAATGTTTCCGGTGCAAACATTCGCGATAAAAATTAATGCTTTGAGAACCATGAAACTCGGTGTAACAACTACATATTTTGAAAGCAAAAATTATTGTGCAAACAGAAAAAAAATTCTCGAAGCGATAAAATAATTCCAGTTCATCATTCTCTAGCAGAGTAATTTTTATAATTCTTTTATTTCACAGTATACTTACAGTCACTCAAAATAGGACCAGATCAAGGTATAACAGCTCACTGATTGGCTTCTCTTTGCCATTCTTGCTAGCTTAATATGGTGGCCAAAAGCCAAAACACTTCACTACTTACTCTGGAGTTTTTTCGAAATCTGCGCCCTTAACTTTTGTATACTCCTATTATGCAATAGTGTGGACACTCGTTCACTCAATAATTTATTTAATCTTAACTCATAAATAATTGTCTTAAAATTATTAATACATAAATTTTTTCGGAAAAAATTTAAATTATATTTAAAATGATACGTACTTTCGCATTAAAGTTTACTCTACAAGTGATATATGACTCATGTAAATCATGTAAATGTCAACTAGTATTTATTGCTGTTTTTTTTTTCTTACTAATCATTCTTATTATATTTACTGTTACTGTAACTACAATAGTTTATTTCATATGCGTGTTAAGATTATTTTTGGAAATAGTTGTGAACAGCTTGTTAATCTCCTACATCTTTCAGATGATCCTGCTAGAAGGCAAGCGCGACGCTTACAATGCAAAAGTCAACGCTCTGCGTTCCGCTATCTACAGACTCAACTGTTCGACAAATCACTTTTTGGTACGTAGTATATTCATAAAGGGTTTACTATTCATAAAATAAATCAAATACTTGCATTCACAATCGATATAACATCATTGAAATAAAATAAGATAGTAGGATATAGTTTCTGTTAATTTTGTGAAATCATTAAATTGATACAAGATCACGGAATTCGTATGTAAATCATTCAATCACTATATTCCAAACAGTGAGAATCATTATTATGTAAGCGTTAAAAAAAAATAATAATAATAATAATAGTAATATAACAATAAATGTTTTAAGCCACTTACTTCGTACATGATTGTATGCGTGTGTGTTTACAGGAACAGCTGGCCGCATTCCTAGCAGGTCGTCCAAAAGGAAAAAAGGTCACACACGGATCAATGAATCAGATAAATCACAACAATCACGTGACCAATGCAGTAAATCCACCTGTGAATGGAATTGATTAATATTTGTGAAACAAATGGAGAAAAATACTATTAATACAAGCTTGATCATGAAAAAAAAACTCTGCATCATAAGATTGATTATATTTAAAATCAATATTCTGAACAAATATTTTGTTATTGAGACTTATGTTCTTTCATTGTACTACTTATTGACAACTTAATTTTCAACTAAAATTATTACGCTTAAATTATACTTTTATATGGCTAATATGGATCACAACTATGTATCCAGTATAATCTTTATGTTAAGAAAAACATCAATTTTTAATTAAAATATAAGCAAACATGAAGGAAGTAAATTGATGAATCATAGCATTTATGGTTAATCACTAAGAAGAAATGACATGATTTATGAATTCAGCCCTAAGCTATTGGAGACATTGGACTTTTTTTCAAGAAAAAAAAATGTTTTGAAAAATTTCATAGCTTTATATTAATATAATATGTAAAAAAAATTACGTTACATATGGCAGACAGTTAATATTATCAACTATTAGAAAGGTTTACACAAAATTTTTATAAATAATATCCAACGAAAACATTTTGTTCTCATTTCATATTAAGTTAATAAAATATTTTAGTGTAAATTGTTTGAGTACCAATTATTTTTACTCCACGCCACAGATTTAAAAATATTTAAATTTTTGAAGAATAATTTGTTTCATGCTCATTGGATTAAAAAAGTAAATTTGACATTCTCAAATCAAAAATTACAGTTTAGAAGAGTTGGTGTTGTAAAAACTTGAATTTATAACTTCACAACCTTTTAAATACTCCAAAACTCATGATTCATACAAAAATTGGCATTGACCTCTAACAGGAGATTCGTTGAACATCAAAATAAATTTTTGAAGCGCAGTGCGCTTGTATCTTCTCGATTTTAATGAATAATAATGTTAATTTATAAACATGAAAAATTAACTATATATAAGTATGAAAAATTAATTATATATAAACATGGGCCATTAACTATAGGCTACTTTATCAGCCAACAATCTCCAATTTTTTTTTTAATGCCATGGCTTTGTAGTCGTTCGTAGTGCTGAAATAAACTTTCTGGAATCTTATTTTAGTTGTTGAAATGATTTTTAAAACGACGGCCCAGACCTATTACGGACGAATTGAAACAAATTTTTTTCAATCAATTTTAATGATTTAAAGTTACTCCTTATTTCACAATACCTCCATTATTTACGGAGATACAGGCGTTTTAAGTTTAAGCTATTTCTTCAGCTAGAAATTTCGTATTTTAAAAGTGATGCCATGGCTTTATAGTTTATTCTAGTAGTACAGAGGAGTATCTAGAAGTTTATTCAAGTTGTTCAAATCATTTTACGAACGAATTTCAAGTGACGCCATGACTTTGTAGTCTCTTGATATAAAGGACTGTCTGGAAGGTTATTTCAATTGTAAAAAATGATGTTTACAAAGATTGGCCATAGCCTAGTATTCGTGAATCAAAGAAAAAAATTTTTTTCAATAAAATTTCATAAACCGAAATAAATAAATATCGATATCCTTATTATTTACCTAGATATGAGCGTTTAAAAAAAATACCAAATTTAAAGTAATGATACGGCTTTGTCGAGGTTTATAGTGATAGGGCAAACCGTTGAGAAAGTTCATTTAGTTAATAAATTAAGTTTTTTATCGCTGGCTAGAGCCTAGTAGATTAGAAGAAAAGAAAATACATGTATAAATTATAATGATTACAAATCATAGCTCATTTAGTGATATCTTTATTAATTACAGAGATACGAGGGTTCAAAGATAAGGGTATTTCTTTAATTTAAAACGGTCTTCTTCATTACTACGAACGAATACAAAGCCATAACGTTTTTCTAAATCTAAAACTTTTAGCTTAAAAAAAAGCCAAAACTATAAACGCTCGTATCTCCGTAAATAGTGGAGATATCGCAAAATAAGTAATCAACTAAGGTCACTATAGTTTATAAAAAATTTTTTTTTTAATTTGTGTATACTTAAAAAAATAAAATTATCATTAGACAATTGAGTCTGTCATATTTGAATTTCCCGCAAGTTTGCCAGTCACATTTGAGAGCACTGGCTACAGGTAAGGTGCTGTAGGCTAAATACTGTATATGTTTATGTACAGTATAAAAGTTCTACGTAAGACATACATGCCGCTATTGACCTGTTTAAATAAAATCAAGTTTCAAGTTTTGTTTGTATAATCTTTGAAAAAAAAAAAAAAAACTGAATGATCCATCAAAGTATAACAGTATAATGAGATTATACCAGAATGGAGATATTTTATGTACTGATAATAATTGGTTGTATTCACTTTGCATTCTTCTTTTTCAACACAATATTTGTAGTAAGAATAACTTGTACTTAAATTTTGGTGTGAAATTGTACGCTACAACGATAATATTTCTTTATCAATGATAACATAAATGAAATAAAATTTTTGTTTACAGACATGCATGCACTTACCATACCTGACTTTTTTAAAAAGGACAGGTTTAGAAATACAATTATTACGCATAAAATGGTTCACAACTGCCTTCAATCGTTGTTTAATGAAATGGGGGCTAAATCGTTCAAAATTTTGGTCTCTATGGTTCAACGCCGGACTTGTCACAGCAGTTGTATCTATTCCTGTATCGATTATTGTTATTTTAAAAGCAACAAAAAGCAATCTATGGCCAGTTAAATCTGAATTACCAAGTAAAACTGAAGGACAAGTCATGGAATTGATAGTAAGCATAAGATTTAATAACAGCTGGAGTACATCAATTTTTATTTGACTGTAAAAGATTCCAGGCGTTGATATTCCGTTCAATCAAATGGGCTATTATGTACTTTCACTGTTGTTCAGTAGTGTAACACATGAGTTGGGCCATGCAATGGCAGCAGTCAGAGATGATGTTCGTTTCTTTGGAATGGGAATGATAATATTTTTTATCGTGCCAATAGCCTTTATAAATATAAATAACGAGCAGCTCAAGTCTTTACCGGCAAAAAATCAATTGAGAATACTTTGTGCTGGAGTCTGGCACAATATCGTACTGGCTGTTGTTGCCATCATATTTATGGGAGTTGTCAATTTCTGTTTCGCACCTTTTTTCAGAAGAGATTATGGTGTTTATGTCAAAGACATTTCAACAGTAATTTATTTAAAATATTGTACTTACAGCAATCTATTGACATTAACTAATAAGATAGTTGATTTACTTCATTTTTTATTTAATGTTTTTTTTTAGAGTTCAAGTTTGTCAGGACCATCTGGACTTTTAGTTGGAGATGTAATCAACAAAATCAACGATTGCAATGTTAGAAATTCAACTAACTGGAGAACATGCATTTTTCAGGCAACTCAACTTTCAACTCCAGGGTACTGTGTCACAGATAAAATGGTCAAGGTATATTGGAAATAAATGAATAACAGATACTTGGAAATCATCTTAAACGTTTATAAACGAATTTTTAATCCTTTTAGGCAATAGATAAATCCACCCCTACACAAGACACGAATGGAATTTACGACTGCTGTGAACAGCCCAATAAAGATAAAGGTTATTTGTGTTTTCAACACCTTGATGGTTTTGACCAAGCATCTAAATTTTCCAAGCACTTTTGTCTTCCCACCAGAACTATCGTTGAGAGTTCGCACAGTACATGTCAGAATACTGATCAGTGTCTTATAACAAATGACATATGCATTAAACCTACGTTGGATGATAGGACAAAGGTAGTTATCCGATAATAATTATACTACATTATAAGCAATTTTTAACAATTAATGAAAAAATCAGTGAAAAAATTCAAAATCTGATCAAAAACTATAAATGTACCCCTAAGTTTCTGATATCTTATTTTTAGATTGTTCGAATCCAAAGATATGGCCACAAGGATGTTTTATTTTTTGGTAGTCCATCAGAAATTTATTACTCGGTGGATTTATCTGACTGGATACCAAGGTTTTCATTTATAACGCCATTTTTTCCAGAATCAATAATGTTACTCTGCAAATACGTTTCAGTATTTTCTTCAGGCCTTGCCATAATTAATGTTATACCATGTTTTTACTTCGACGGGCAATACATTGCTATACTTCTCATAGATACTTTGTTGAAAAATAAAATACACCAACAAAGTGTGAGGGCAATGATTTCTTTTGTGATAACATCTATTTTTACGCTGCTTTTAGCAATTAATTTATTTTATGTGTATATCAATAGACTTTAAAGCTCATGATCTTAAATTACAAGCTGTACAATTGTGAAATATTTTACAAAAGATTTAAATATGTTCGTACATAAATGCATCGATACTTCAGTTTCAAATTATGCAAAAACTTTGTTCTCATCAATTTACGAAGAAAATAATGAAATTATAATTTTTAGCATGCAAAATTCGTTTGTTTTACTGAGATCTGCCCAAGTTTTTCTGAAGTTCACGAAGAGATTTTTCACCATGGTCTAGCAAGGCTTTTAATTGTAACTGTAAAAATTTTACAAAGTTAATACGCAACGTGTTAATAAAAGTAATAGTATCAAAATTCCAATGTACTTACATCATCCGTGACATTTTTGTAAGTTCTGAAATCTGATCTAGCCCAGTTTCTCATGTACTCTTGATCAGCTTCATCAGGAATCAACTTTATGGTCTTTAAAATTTTTTTATACAACTTCAAAACTTGCCTACTATTCATAAACTGTAATTCGTAAAAACATGAATATAATAAAAAATAAGTAGTGATTTTTACCTACAATAAAAACAATTTTTTAACCTGTTTCAAGCTCATCGGTGGAGGACCTGGTTTCATCGTACTAATAAGTACTTTAACTGCAATCTTTGATTTTTAATTTTCTTATTTCTATTTTGATTTCATACTAACATAAATTGTATTGTTTGCAACGTTACTCGTAGTTTCTGATGTGCAGAAAAGTAAACAGAATTTCACGTAAACATTTGTATGAAAATTCGTCATGTAAAGTCATGCACATCCAGCAGAATTCTTATTTTCAGAGCTGTAGTACCAAATGATCAAATACAAAACAAATGTAGTGTAAATAATTTATGAATATCTAGTTTACTTTTTTCAAGTAAGTATAAAACTTTAATTACCTTTACTGAGAACATGTGAGGATTATCAAAAGAAAAAAGTTAATGAAATTCAAGTCCTCAATAGTATGATGTGCAAGGTTAACTTTATTAACAAGGAGAAAGTTAACTACTCTGTTTAGCAGACGAACTTTGGTTCAACACTGGCAAAAGTAACGATTCAATTTTAAGGTTAAAACGTAAAAATTCGATTGGAGTATTAAAAATGCAACACCAATCGGTGATTGTTTCTCTTTTAGCTTTAGATCGATTTAGTCCGTAGTTTTCAAGATACTTATTAGTACAATTTTAGCTAAAGGTTATACAGAGGCATTTATGGCATACTTGAGAGCAAATAAATTCAAAAATATTATTTGGAAAAATTAAAAAACTAAGGTGAAAAATAATAATTAAACATGCTGATTGAAAAAAAAGATTTATTTTCTAGGATGGATAAATATTAGTACAACCTGTTGCTTAAAAGCTGAATCATTTAATTTTTTTGAGGAAAAAATATAAAATGGAAAGTTTTTTAATCACTCGCGAAGCACGTTCACGGTAAAACCTTCTCGTTAAAAAAATTTTATTTGCTGTATGGATGAATTGAGAAATTTAAAAATAAACAAATCCCATTTTAAGATTTCCTTTATTATAATAAACATTTTAAGTAAATATTTCATAGTTTATATATTGTTTGTACACTGTTTTAAAAAAAAAGCATTAAAGTCTTTTACTTTACACTCAGTTACTATACAAATAAATGTATTATTTGTAGTATTTTTGACAATAGAACAATTAACAGAGATCGTTGAGCATACATACATACTTATATTCCATATTCATAAACCGAGTATTGTTTGAACATTACTATAAAAAAAAAAATGACTTACTTCTATGAATTCAGCTTTTACTTTAACCTAATAAAATCGGTACTATATAAACCAATAGCAAAAACGGACTCAAATCCATAGCAACATGTTTTTAATCTCGATTAATTTTTTCTATTAAAATACAGCTGGTTTGATTACAATTTGCCAGCAAATAAAGACAAATAGTTTTTGTCTACTTATCGGAAGGAGTGTTATTAATTATTTGTGTACTGTTATATCCTATACCTAACCAAGTAAATGCGTTACCATCTTTTTGTACAGTTCCACTAACTCAAATGATAGCTTTTGAAAAAATTACTGCAGGAAGGTTACAGGACGCAAAAGATCTTGTCACAACACAACGGTTTCTGTGTTCCGCTTATAAAATAGTACGGCACGCGCTTGGGCGGTGAAGTAAATAATGACCCTGATCACATTTGTATTGTAGCCCGAGTGCGATCCGTGCATTTTTTACAGTCACTTGTTATGTGTTCACTAATTTTTTATTTATTTTGACTTTTAGAAGATGCTATTTCCCCCAGGTAGTGGAGGTAAGATCATTACTTTAAGTTGAGGTGGGCCAAAACAGTTTTTTCGCTTTGGAACTTTCCTATATACGTCAGTCAGTTCAAGAAAGGTTTAGCGATCTTATAGTACTAGTAAAATAAGTAGTAAAATATTAATTACTAATTTGTCAAACGCTTAATTTAAAATACAGTCTCTTATTTAGTAAAAAGTAGTTTTAATACTTATATGCTTGGATGTACGATGTTAATAAATTAATAGTCTAGACTTAGTCTTTCTTTTTTGGTTTTTTTGGATTACGAGATCTAGACTTTGCCTTACACAGTGGACAAATGGGTGCATTTCTGTGGATTTGCTGATGACAAGAGAGACATGATTTCATTGGTGGTGGTTGTTGTCTAAAAACAACCAATATAAGTTACCAAACAGTTTTAATTTTATAAACTGCTTCAATTTTACTAGGTTGTGAAAAGATGGGCATACCTGAATGTTGGGGCAGGTGGTCCAGGTGCCGGAGGAAGTGGTCTGGGTTCGGCTTTACTGGGTCCTTGTAAGGGCTGAGGTGCTAAAAAGGCGTTAGTGGCAGGATGTCCACCATGAGAGTGCATATTTAAAGGAGCGAGTAAATCCTCTCCTCTGACATCTACTCGCCACTCGTTCTTTTGTACTGGTCGTTCAAAATAGCTAAAAGTATTTAATACATAAAGCGAGTCAAAAAAATTTGTCCAACATTTTATGATAATAGAATTAAAGATAAAATTGAACATTTAATAACTACTCTGGAGTGATATCTGAATCTATTTCGTAGAGTTCTGGCAGTCTTTCGAGACCCAAGTAGTCCCTTCTCAGTCGATCAATATCGTGTTTCAAAGGTTGATAGTCATTGTTGTGGATTATTTTCGCAGCATCCCTAGCTCTGTTTCTGGCTTCCTCGGCATGCTTTATCACAGATTCCATCTAAATCGAGGATTGAGATGAAAAGTTAAAAATATAGAATTTTTTTTTTTTTTTAACATAAAAAAAATACATTAAAAACATACAGCATTGATATCAGCATGAATTTGTCTAAGTTCTTCAACGTGAGCCATTTTTTCTTGCATCAAGAGATCCATCTCTTGTTTGTACTCCATGAGACACTTTTCCTCTTGCTCCGTCAATTCAACCTCTTGGAAAATCCTCTGTTTAATTTTATCCAACTGAATGGTTTTCGATCTTATAAATAAAAAAACTCATGCCGTCACTTTTCCTTCGAACGCGAGTGCATTGAAATGACAAAATTAAATATTAATTTCACAAGCGATTACCTGACATCCTTTAGGGCCTCGAGCTTTGCAAAGAGAATATTTTCGGGGGTTGCCATGTTCCTTTGAAAAATTTCACCGTGATTTCGCGTCGATAAGTAATCAAGCAGACCGCTATACGGTAGCGTAAAACTTCAGTAACCGACAAGCACCACAGCTACAATCAGCTTATTGCACTGCACACTGAAAGGGTACTGTCTTGGAAGTATATCGGGTAGCAGCTTGTCTCCTCTCTGCATACAAGGCTCCGGTACATTATTGGTACACTCTTTTTATTCGTGTGTCTCCGGCAGCTTACGTTCCTGCGTTTTAACTCTCGTGTGCATCATCCTTACGGCTCTATATCTAAAACGCGTAACTTTGTACCTTCTACGATTAATCTTTTAGCTTGCAACTACTTTTATCCAAAAATACTCGTCTTTCTACTCCGGTAAAGTCATGTCTCCGAGTGTATATAGATTTTAACTCTACACAACATGACATACACGAAATACGAATGCATCATTTGTACGTGTGCACGTATACGTACGTGTGTGTGTGTGTGTGTGTATGATGCGCAGCTTGAGCAGGCAGCGTCATTGGTATAGGAGTAAGGATTACTTGGTGCAGGATTGTCAACGTTTAAGCTTGGAAAGAAAAAAAGGGGGCTTGACTTGAGGAGCTTTAATCTTCAATGGTTTAATGGTAGGGGGGGACTGAGGAAAGCAGATGTTTGTGGATTTGGTTGGTAGGATTTTTTGAACACGGATGAAAGCCCGTGTTAAAGAAAAGTTGTACTAACCAACCCACGAATATATTATGCGCTCACTCCATCATAGAAAATTTATCAACTCGTCAATCTCAACAAAACAACAATGATATACGCTTCCAAACAATTACCAAATAAATTTTAAGACAACTAGACTCTGGTCAATCAAGGTAAAATCTATTGTTTCTACTTTAGATTTTGCAGCACTTCTAGAAAATGAATAAACGTAGAATAAAAAAATTGTAACAACAACTGTTAGTTGACAAAACTAGCCGACTCTAATCGCTCTAAGCTATAAAAATTTGTTTTTCCCAGCCTGGTACATAAGACTATTTGGGTCCGATGTGGGTTCTATAGACTTGATGGAGACTTCGATTTACGCAAGCTTATTCAGGGGCCAAATTACTTACAATGTGCGATGTATCGAAAAATCGACGTAATAATATGATGTAAACATTTCCTCCTCAACATTGACTCCATTGCAAATGATAGATGTCTCCAAACCACATGACTTTGAGTGATATCTCATTTCGTAATGGGATCACCCCCAGTTCACGCTGCGCATTCGTGCAATAGTGTGCGTAAATTAAAGTCCTTTGGTGTTTCCACATTAATTCGTAGAGCTGTACGCGTGGATCATGCGGCAATTTTTAAGTATACCTGTATATGTATAAGGCGCACAAAATTCAAAATTTTTTAAAACGTGCTACTTATTTGAGACAAAAATGATTTGTCGAAATGGCAAAAAATTTGTATCTTTATAATTTAAAAGATTTGGGACGTTTAAGTTGGTAGGTTTGCTAGTTTCAAACAAATTAAAAAATAAAATTTCTATAGTTTTTATGAGTTAGTAATATCTATTAAAAAAATGACATAAGGCTATAAATAAATTGTCAACCAACTGGGATAATATTACACATATTTTAAAGGCGTAAAACTTATGTCGTAGATAATTTCTTACAAATTCATTATAAAAAATTCTTTTCTCGGAAAAGTTTTTTCAAAACTAAATCTGTTTAATAACCTGATGACTCTCCTACCAAACGATAAGTACATTAGATGTATTTTTTAACAACGTAAATTTTACAAAGTCCTTTACACAAATGTGTATCTCTTTACTTTTTTTAATCATATAATGTACCGAGAAAAAAAAAAATAAGTCGGAAAAACTGAAAAAAAAAAAATCCACTTTTCAGTACTTTTAGAACCACGTGACGGATAACTTGTAGTGAACACTAAAGCCACATAAATTTCCTTGGGCATATCCCTTTACTTGTTTTTTGGTACTCGATTAAAAAAAGAAAAAAGAAAAAAAAAGTAACTAAGTATGTAGCAGGACTATAGCAGGAGCCTAGTCAAGTGACGAAATGCGCGCGCGCACGTATGTATAATCAACGGATACTCTGGGAATAGTTCGAAAAAGCAGATATCTCCGCTAGAGCAATGTACGTAATTGATGTAAATAAAAATAACGCAATAAAACGACAAAAGGTCAACAAAGCCGGGAGAAACATGTATATAATATGCAGACACGGATACGTAAAACAGAGGTAGAGCCTATCGTAAAGTGGACACCACGAGCAAGAGCCAATCCTGATCCCACTGTCATCGAGAAAGTCCCTGGGCTATAAATGCGTGTGCCCATAGGTATAAGTACACAAAAGTTGTGAGTGAGTGAAAGAGAGAGAAAATAAGAGGGAGAACCGGATTCCTCTAGAGCCACAGCGAGCCGGGACCGTAAAGTCGTCTCGTCCTCTCTTCCAACCAATACTTACATTATATCATACGAATAAATACAGACACACACATAGAGAGGCTCAACTGCTGTTAGTTAGGTAAACTGGCAGCTGTAGTTTTTCTTGGTAGTGTGCGGCTCGGTAGGTACCTACCTATATGCGCACACTCTCACTTCTCGCTTGCAAAAGCAGAGTTGCAGTTGCGATTTTCGTGAGTGCGCGCGTTAACGTGTTGGTGTCATCTTGATTAGCAGCGGCATCAATACAGCGACGAGGTCGCGAAATTCCGAGTTATCTATCGTCGCTGTAGATGAAAAGTATAACGGGAGAGACACAAGTTGTACGGAGATAAGCGTGCACACGCGCATATAGGAAAGATAGTCGGAGGAGAAGAGTGTATAGAAAGTAGGTGGATCGGGCAGTAGCAGACGGGGTGCGCGCGGCGGATACTGACACTTGTCAAAATTCGCAGTTATGGCAGACACGACGGTAGACGCGACGCGCCGCCTCAACGTCAAAAAGCAGACCCTCGACGACGCCTATGCAGCCCCGGCGAACTTTCTCGAGATCGATGTCATTAATCCAATAACCCATGGCCTTGGCAAGAAACGCTACACCGACTACGAAGTTCGGATGCGCGTGAGTGATCACATACACCAGCATCATCATCATCTTTATCATATATCTATTCCAACCAGTGGTCTTCACATCCCCGATGCCCTCATATTATTCTCTTGCACAACTTGCACATCGTATAAGTACCACTCCACTATCGTTATCAATATTATTTTTCGTTCTTGTCATTGTTTATACACAATTAGGTATTCAACCATTGCTCGATCTTCATTTTACGTGTGCGCACGCGATCGTGGTGCTTCTTTACAAATATTAGAACGTGTGCCTCTAGTGGATCCTTGTTTTTATTATTATGGCAAAAATCCTTGATAAAAAATAATCCGATGCTCGAGTATGTCTGTTTCGGAGCATATGTAACACACCCCTCGGCGATAGTAAGTTAGTAGTCCCAAGTGCCAGCGCAACCGGACAACCTGATTATCTGTATCTGGATAAAACATTCCTCGCTCTCGATTTATGCATCGCTCCCAGTTTTTAAATACGATAAAACATTTTTAATCTTTGATTGCTCATTTTCTTAAAAATACGCAAAATTGGCAAAACAAATGTGTTGAATTCAACCTATAAGCTATACATAACAATTATTTACATAAACATCGCACCCTCTTGGTTTTGTGTACCTACAGCGAGTGTGTGTGTGCGCGCGCGCGCGCCTCTATGTGTCACGTATGCTAGAGTGCAAGTGCAATACGCCCAAATGTCGGTATATATTTTGACTTCTTTTTATTACTTCTACGAGTGCTTTTCCTGTTTATCCAATTGCATATCAAAACCAAGGATTACTCACTCAAGTACTAAAATCGCCCAACATCAATGAATACGAGTAAATGACAATAACTTAACCATCAATGGAACTGTGAAACTCAGAAATAATTATTGCACGTAACGAATTTAAAGAGTTGCTCAAACATTGTATTATAGTTACCGCTGGTATTTGTCATCGCCGCTCATTACTACTTTGAAACTTTGAAAAATAACATAGACCTGCACAAAAAATGGATTAACAATTTTTTTGTTTCTTATTTAACGATAGTGCCTGAATATCATACAATATTACTAGATATCATGAAAGTAATCAGACAAACAGTTTATTACTTTAGTAATTGAGTTTTTCTGAACTCTTAGCTGATCAGTGTAGTTTTACGTGTGCTTTCGAATAATTAGCTTAGAATTCAGTAAAACTCGATTAACGCGTTTGAAAGCATGCATTTGTTTACTTCAATAATTACAATTTTTAGTTATTCGTGGTCTTCTGTAATTTCAAAACTTTTTGCCATCTTCGAAAACGAAACAGTAAACATTTGAATTGATTAAAAAAAAATTGTGTTTACCTTGTCAGGCAATTTAAGGTTTTATACTTCAAAAAATTCAGTATAAACTTGTAATTGTACAAAAAAGATTTGTATCCTGTTTACTGAATGATTTCCTCTTAGTCATACGCTTCACACGTGATCTCGTTGCTAGACATACCTTAAATATATCTAATCATGAGTTATTTCAAGTATAGGGACAAAAGTGCCAAAAACTCGCCTTTCAATATTTTTCATTAAAATACATCAACCTGACTTGATGGAGTGATTAAGTGACGAAATTCAGATCCAGTGCCAAAAATTACTTTGTAAAATATGTTTATAGAGAGAGAAAAAAAAATTTTTTAAAAATAATGCATGTCCGCATGTAAGAAACCTTATAAGTTGACTATTTCGACATTGAGGTAATAAAATGAAGTTATCTCATTTGTCTATCTTTGGATAAAAAATTTCGATACGTCTTGAATCAGAAGCTCATAGGACTATGATGAAATATCATACAACTGAAAATTTTATATATATTACTAAATTATGCATATTATATGTAAGAATTTCAAAAAATTTACGTATTCTTCTAGGTAAAATAGTTGTATTCCACGTACAAAATTTTTTTATAAGATATGAATACATTGGACTACACACTAAAAGTAAAATTTTGAACAAAACCTTTTTTATTTCTAATTGGACTGATTTTCAACATCCCGAACGCCGGTTGTAGATATTCTGCTTATCGCTCAAGTACATACGGTATCATGCCGAGTGCAACTTTAGCATTTTGCTCGTATTTCATTCTTAATTTGAAATTATGACAACTACACCTATGTACCGGTCATATTTTGCTTGGACAGCAATTGACTCCTGGTTACTGTTTGCCAAACCCTATTTGCTTTATTTCAGTAAAACTCGTTTAAAACCAGAATGCAAGAATACGTATAAAAGTAAGGAGTTTATCAGTAGCCTTGCATATAATTTGAGAAATGTATTATATTTTTATTATTTTTATTTTCATCTTAAATTGATTACGATGATGTATATCATACATACTTTCAACAATCTCCTATTTTTTGTTGAATAATTATTTTATTACTGTTGTCCTTGTCATTATTTTCATGTACATATCTACTATTTTATTTTATTGTTTTACTCAGTCGTATCAAACGACGTTTTTTGCTAAGTTCGTCTCTTACAATCGAATAAATTAATAAATACAAAAAAATGCTACAATGAATGCTACTTACAAATTTTAATTATGTTATCATCTAATTTTAGACTAATTTACCAGTCTTCAAAGTAAAAGACTCCAGCGTGCGAAGACGATATAGCGATTTTGAGTGGTTAAGAAATGAACTCGAGAGAGACAGTAAGGTATTTATATGTCCATAATTTCTCACTATTGTAAAAAGAGTTGAACAGTAATTAGATAATGTGCATTAATTGAATCGGTGTCATTTCATTGCAGATTGTAGTGCCTCCACTGCCAGGCAAAGCTTGGAAAAGACAAATGCCTTTCAGAGGTGACGATGGAATATTCGAAGAAGACTTTATTGAAGATAGAAGAAAAGGCTTGGAAGTGTTCGTGAATAAGTAAGTGTGCGAATCCTATTGTGCATTTGGTCGTAACTAATTTATCGTGCATTGAGAATTTACAAAAATAACTGCAAACATCATTTCTGAGCATTAATAATTACTTGTCAGTTGACGTTTCACGTTAATTGGTTAGAAGACATAAAATTTCAATACATAATAATTTTGGAGTCATTGGTAGGCAAAAACATTATTGGAATGTTTTTTATCATTTTTTATTTAATATCTAATTCGAGTGTAATATGAATGTTAATTTTTTTAGATTATAACTTAAATGATGTACTTGTATTATGTGACCATTAATATTTTCATACAACTGCATATACATGAGTCTTTATGAACATATAAAAGTTAAGTTACTTTTTCAAGTACGTCAGCAAAGTTATGGAAAAAAATTCTCATTTTGAATTTTTGTAACCACTGCACGTTGTCATGTCAAAAATATTACATTGAAGTGTGCCTAAATGTTTAAAAATTAGTTAACACTAAATAACCTGAAATTTAATACTGTTGAACTCGAGTAGAACTGATTAACAAAATGAATTAGATTATTTCTTAAAAGACTGATGTTCACATCACTAGTCTTTTTATCAGTTGTGTTGGTGAATCAAATAGATAACGTAGTTTATTATTTTACAGGTAAAACAATTTTTTTTCAATTTGCTAAAAAAAATGAAATAATACATATTTACAGAATGAAAACTTTCAAGATTGATTTTGTATTATATTACATCATGATTTTGTATTACACATAATTTATTTCTCCTTTAAAATGAAAAATTTGAAAAAATCTATTTGGTTAAAATCAAAACACAATTAAACTATNGTGGACAGCTTCAAAAATTGATAATCCTTACAGTTATTCCGATACTGATTCTGAAACGGTATAACAAACAGTAATACTTGGGAAAAGTACATTTAAAACTGCTATACAAAATATGATAGTTAGTTTTTGTACTACACCACTTAAAAATGTGTCGTATTGTTTATTAATTAAATAATAAAAATAATCAAGAATCAAAATAAGAAATGCTGTTAAGCTAAATTTTCATCTCACGTCAACATTTTTTTTTGGTATTTTACAAATGTCTAAATTTTTTTACTTTTATTTACAGAATCGCAGGACATCCGCTGGCGCAAAACGAACGGTGTTTACACATGTTTTTGCAAGAAGTCTGTATAGATAAAAATTATGTGCCTGGAAAAATAAGGAACACATAGATTGTGTGAAAATACTTTAGACTATAAGAGCGTGAGAATTTGTTTATGATATACTATAATGTTTGTATTTTAATTAATTTTCACGAAACATGATTAGAAGTCTCTCTACATAATACGTATAAATATTTCTTACTAAATATCTGAGGTACGTTCATTCTTGATTAGGAAAATTTGATGCAACAAATTTTCACATCTTGCATTATCATTCATACATTTGCAACGTTATCAGAAATTTTTTTTTAAGCATAATGTACATTATAAAGTGTAATTATAACGTCATACGAACAAAGAATTGATTTGAAAGTTGTAAAAGTACCTAAATCATACATGAGCAGATACTTGCTGCACGTGTACAAACGCTTCATCGATTTCAATTGGATCAATTTATACTTACTGCAGGATATTAGAAAATTTAGAAAAAGAATAAAGATGAGGTGTTTTTTACACACTTTGTTTAATCGAAATGTATGAGATTTATTGTATAAGCAAACTATTTTAAATATGTTATGTATTACACGATTTGGACCATGAGAAATATAATTTAAAATTCGCGTTTAGTCGAGTTTTTTCATTACAATAATCTTATCTTCACTTTTCGTCACATATTTTTATTTAACACCGTGCATGTAGCAAGCATAATTCTTAAATCCATTTTAATTTTCCATTCATTGAAAAATACCCACCTTTTTCAATTGGATTACTACCGTACGTTACTGTAATTTCTACTTTACCGTTAGAGGTAACAACAGTTTGGAAATAATTTCAAATTAAAACATATTTCGATCAATATTTGACGCTTACATAGCAATCGTTTGTTTGCCTTAGCAGCAGTTAGTGCTATGAGAGTAGTGTTTTCGATAACAATAATCCAAACTGTGTATGACAAATGAGTCTACTTTTATGTATAAAATATGACCAGTTGTTGCATACTAGATCGTACACTTTATTTTCTGAGACGTGTCTGGAGCAGAATATCACGTCGGAAGAAACCGAAAACGTACGTACGATTGAAAATATTTAACTTAAACATTAATGAAACATATTTATGATGAATACAATAAGATTCACCACTTTAATCATAATAGGTCTATAGTGATATTGGTGGCTGGTCTTGATAACTCTGGGAAAAGTGCCATAGTTAATTATCTTTTCAACAGTGAGTCATTTTTCTAATACTCGACGATTTAAGGAAAAAAAGAAAGAGTAGTAAAAATCTTATCGAGTTCTTATCGTTTCATTTTTTGCCTTTTCAATAAATTTTTCAATTAGGCGAGAAATAAAAATTTAGCTTTTGCATCATCATTATTGTAAAATTGCTGAAAAATTGCATGTAAAGGTCATTTGCGATAGTTTTTTTTTTCTAAAAAAAAAAAAAAAAAACCTTCTTATGACGAATTTTTTAACAGTATTTGATCAGAATCAATTATTGAGAGAGAAAAATTAATCTTTTATTATAGAAAGCCTAATAACCAAAGAAAATGTTGTTCCAACTATTGGATTTCGTACAGTTATCTTCAACTACAAGTCATGTTCTATTCGATTGTACGACGTAGGAGGTGGACCTCAAATTCGTGCACTTTGGCCAAAATATTATGATGATGTAAGTTGTGATTAATCATACATAATTTAAATATATTACGTAAAGTCTGAATCATCGTGCAAAACTGGAGAACAATATCATCAGAAATGATGATTCATACTAAACGAATAAGTTAATTTATTTATATAATAGGTGTTAATAATTTACGTAATAATTATTTATGTAGAGCCACAGGTGCGTACACAAAAATATTTGATATTTATTGATAAATTGGTGTTTAAGGTGCATGGTGTCATATACGTAGTTGATAGCAATGACACAGAGCGGTTACTGGAAAGCGCAGAGATTTTTCGGGAACTTGTTTGCCATGAACTGATTTCTCAAAAGCCCGTTCTTTTGTAAGCAAGAAGATTTAGTATAAATTTAAATTAAAAAATTTCTTTATTAGACACATTGAGTACTAGAAAAATCTTTGCATACATTATTATTGCTATTGTGCAAATTATGATTACTGTTATTTATATATTTCAGTTTAGGTAATAAACAAGATTTAAACGGCTGTTCAGACGAGCTTGAACTTATTCAACACATGAACATTGAACATATCGTTAACTTTGTTAAATGTTACACCAGAGTTGAAATTTGTTCGTGTTATCCAGATAAAAGAAGACGAAAATACAATTTAAATGACAATATCAATGTAGGATTCAGGTAAACTATAAACAAGTAATTAAAGAGGATACCTATAAGAAGAATAATGAAGTGAGTGTTGTTATTTACGAATCTGAGTCTATAGGTGGTTGATAGAAACAATATGTAAGCATTACGACGAAATTAGGGAAGTGATGTATGAACAAAGTACAAGGAGAAAGAAACGTCGACGGTCCTTCAGCTTAAAGTCGTGGACAGCTTCAAAAATTGATAATCCTTACAGTTATTCCGATACTGATTCTGAAACGGTATAACAAACAGTAATACTTGGGAAAAGTACATTTAAAACTGCTATACATAATTTTTTTTTTTTTTTCAATTTTTCAGTACATGAAACCAATAATTCCCAAAGATCTTACTCCTAAAAAACGTAAGGATTAACCTTTGTTGTTTTTTTAAATTTAATTTTAATCGACCGAGATTCAAAAACCTGATGGATTTTTTGAAATGAATTAATAATTTAACTTTGTAGGAAAAAGGAAAAAATCTTCGAAAAGCATTTTCTCAATCAGGAATAACAAAACTGCACCCATGTCCATTGATGATTCATCTCATAAAACACCGACAGCTGAAACCATGAGAGAGCTGATTGGAGGTATTGGAAGCGGAGACGTTACAAGGAGTAATGTGGTCGAAGCAAACGCTGAAAGTGAAAATCGACGACCATGGCGCTACTGGAAAAAAAGGCCTAATACCGCTCCAGCTGAAATGAAGCCTTTTGCGACAAAGTCAACTCTTGACGGTGAAAAGCCAACAAGCAAAACCACCAACCAAGAAATTGCATGAACGTGTGAACAATCCACACGTTTACGCAAAAAAAAAACGCGAAACTTAATTATACGTTTATATAATTGTAAATAAACATTTTGTACTTTTTTTCTATTTATATCATACATGGTTATCCATTTTTTCATTGGATGCACCAAGCAGACAACTTATAAGACAGTGGTGGATGTGAGAAGAAGAATTTTTCATGTTATATGTATTTAAGAATATATACAATCCAGTGTAAGCATAAGGTATATTCTCATGCAGAATACCCACCTAAATAAAACACAAAATCACAGAGTTTTATTTTTTGATCAATTCTAATAGCAATACAGTTCTTTTATATTATTTGCTTCATTCAGCCCATAAAAAAAAGTATATTTTAAAAATTATACATGTACGTAAATTTCGATGCTTGTTGCATCCCGATAATTTGATGTTTGAAAATAATATGCACAGAGTCACAAAAATATAAGTCTAACAACTGAATATTTACTAATATATAAAATATAATATTAGCCTCGACACCAACTCATTGAGTTAGCCAAAAATAAATGTTAGGATTTAAACCAAGAGAGCTCAATGTACAAATCTACGATTAACAAAAACGCAGTGGCCCCGTACCGCCAATAATGTAGGATAATTTTCTTATTTAATACGATTCATCTCGAAATTAGTGATAGAAAATTAAAAAAAAAAAAAAAAAAAAAACACACACACATTTTATTAGCGTGTCTTCTAACACATTTTTTTAGCAATTAATTTTCGTGTAAGATTTAACTTAAAAAACCGAAAAAGTTGGGGACAGCACTCAACTTGTAAATAGCGACAAATTAAAAAAAAAATTACAATACGGTCTTCGTGCTCAATCGATCATTCAGTGCTTGTACTAATCAGCTGTAGTACGAGTGCATACGTTAGTACATACATTACGTACGCCGATGGCGCCGCTAGCAGATGTATTTGAGGATATTCGCACACATGCCGAAATGGTGCTGTACAGAGGGCAGCACTAACTGGCGTATCAGTATAATGCGTCGGCGAAACGTCCAAAATTCGGCTCGAAATTCGGTTACCCGGTGCTCCTAGCCCGAAAATTTTTCTCAAAGTCAAGTACTCAGCTCAGCAAAAACCCGTATACTTTTGAGTTTTTGTTCGACATACAGAATATCAAAGAATAAATAGGTCATATCCAATTCACTCACAGCCCTTCATTTACTAAAAAAAATTATTAAAAATGAAAACTTACGAGGTAACTCTCTTGCGTTTGTTTGTCTGATATCCAAATAAATTTTAATGCTATTGCATTGTTTATGACTGCTTGGCGACTTCGAACGCAAGGAAGCAAACCCACCAACTATGTCTTAATAAATTTTGTCGTATGCCTGTTTTTGAATGTTGGGGATAAGTGAGTTTAAAATAAATAAAATGTTAATCAATTAAATACACAGAATTACAGTGTGAAGAACTTATGGTATATCTTCAGAAAGAGCGATGTAAAAAATACTGGCTCAATATTTTGAGATAATCTCTTTAACGGGAATGATAGATTAAAAAACGATTGTTCCATCTTGGGCATTTTTCTTCAACTTCAAAAAATTTGTTTGAAAAATAAAGAGTTTTAGTATATTGTAGAAAAATTCTTAAATATACCAATGAATATAGAACCTCTAAAGCTAACTATAAAGCAAAACAACAATTTAAGAACTCAAATTACGTTTAAAAAACTAACGATTAAAAAGTTTCAAAATAAAAAAAATTTTATTCATGCCCTACTAAAATAAGCCCTAATGACGATGATTATTACATGATTTTTGAAATAATAAACTTATCAAGCGTAAGTATACTAAAAAATTGTTTTATTAGACGTATTACAAAAATATTTAAAAAGTTAAAAATCACAGTCATCACAAAAACTATGTTGTATGATACAATGCTCTACTATTTCTCTAAAATCTTTAATTTCATTTTACTGCTAAGACTATGCTTAAAATAGGAAAAAATCTAAAAACTCTATCGTCACATTATAAATTAACGCAAATGAAATTTGTTTTTTATAAAATGACCGTAGCACGAACAAAAAATAAATACTACTTTTAAACAAATAAATATAATCTTACGTAGTAAAATTCATAAACGACACTTAGGTCGACCTTACGATATAAAAAAAAATCGATTATTCATCGAAAGTGTAATAAAATTTGTTTTTCATAAAATGACCGTAGCACGAACAAAAAATAAATACTAATTTTAAACAAATAAATATAATCTTACGTAGTAAAATGCATAAACCACACTTAGATCGACTATACATTACTAAAGTTAAAGTCGTGGACAGCTTCAAAAATTGATAATCCTTACAGTTATTCCGATACTGATTCTGAAACGGTATAACAAACAGTAATACTTGGGAAAAGNATCGTCACATTATAAATTAACGCAAATGAAATTTGTTTTTTATAAAATGACCGTAGCACGAACAAAAAATAAATACTAATTTTAAACAAATAAATATAATCTTACGTAGTAAAATGCATAAACCACACTTAGATCGACTATACATTACAAAAAAAAAAAAAAAAAAGATTATTCATCGAACAGTGTAATAGCTAAAACTTCCAAATCCGGTATGTGCTAGGCTAGAAGTACTCGGCGCAACGGACATTGTTGGACTCTTGAGACAATTATCGAGTAGACTATGCTCTGCTTCTCCTCTGTGATGGCACTCGCCGTTGTTTTTTCGACTCCACTTATCCGAATCATCGCCAAAAAAATTCCAAATAACCAGGGTATCGCGATACTGCATACCTTAAAGTTAAAACATGGATGTAAAATATTATTTAACAACCGTACTGTGCGACGTCCACATATAATTATTCGCTCCAGGCATATCTGTGTAAGGGATAAATATTACAGGTATCGTGTTTTTTTTTGTTTTTTGTTTTTTTCAATTCTTATTCCATGCAGATTGTAATACGACTGGAGAGTGAAAGACTTACAGTATAATCGAATATTTTTCATGCGTACATCGGCCTATATATTCAATACTTGACATAAACAAAACATAAGTTATGAACTAACATTTTAATCGTGCTTTCACCGATATTTATCGAACGTTTAGATGATACGGAAGTCTACACCTACTATAATTTGAATTTTCGTGATTGATAATCTATAGTATTTCAGTTAAAATATGTATTTTATTATAATTTGTAGTAATGATTGTTATGAAGTATGTGTACAAGTAGAATGCATGACAAATGATCACATCTCACCTAGTTTGGTGTGGTCAGGAGTCCACACGATGTTGAGCATCCGGTGCTCCGGATGAATCGGGAATGCGTCGACAATCTCGTCAAGGCTGGCCAGCACGACTATCTTGGAGCGCAATCGCCGGCCGTCGAGGTAGTACCAGTGCACGACGAGCTCGCCACTTAGTTTGTTGAACATCATGCAGTCGACAGACCCGACGAACTTGACTTTGCGGTAGCCGAGCTGACGCCGGCTGCTGACGTTCCAGAGGGAGAGCGAGCCATCGCCTGGCCCACCGCCGACGCACAGGACGTTTCTTCGCCACGGGTGCCAGGCCATGGCCTGCATGGACAGCACGGGAAGAAATACTTCATTATATGCCTCATATACGGTTGTTCACAAGCCTTGCAGTCTTCATTCCATCGAATGCTCGAAAAATTCATGTGGATCACGCGATTTTTTTTTTTTTCTGTTTTTTTAACCTCTTGCGGCAAATGCGTCGAGGTACAAGAAACTGAAATTAAATTGTTTTCGAAAGCGCTCAAAACGAGCTTTAGTTTATTCTCACGTATTTTTTTCCTGGCGAAAGTTAAATTAAATTTCGGCAAACAAACTGGATTAGCCAGACAAAATTGAAAACAAGTACCACACGCTATCGAAAAATATTTGTTTCCCATGTTTCCGTAATCTTCCGAAAATTTTAACGAAAAATTAAATTAAAATCGCTCCAGTTACCTTGATGCTAGCGTGGAATTCAATCTCGAAAGCCAGCACGAGGTTGGGGTAGGTAAAAAGCTTGACGCGCTTGTTGTTTACGCTCGCAGCCACGTACTGTTCGGTCGGTGACACGGAAATTGCGAGTATTTCTCTCTCAAAATGTGCCGAGGCAATCAGGTAACCAGCCCTCGAGCTCACCACGCTTATGTAACCCTTGTCACAACCACTGAGGTATAACCAGAAAAATATTATTACTTGTGGTGAGAACTTTTCACTCTCAACTTAACCCGTGACTTTTACACTTTTATCTAAGTATACTCACGTGATGATCAACTTGTTCTTTTTCATCCACTCCATACAAGTGACTTTGCACAAACCGTGAAGCATTTCTTCGCAACCCCCGCATTTTCTCGACCAAATGATTTTACTTTCAGTTTTGTCGTACAAGCTCGTACTTCCATCCATGCCACTTACGGCTACTTGCGTGCCTGTTTAGTTAAACGTAAAATATCATACTTATAATATACAACTTTTTGACATTACTATTAACACATTGTTTGCTCACTGTTTCATCCTGTGAATGATTGGTGACCACTTAACATGCTTGAAATTTTATATTTTTACATCTCGTTTTCACTTAAAATCATACAATAACTTTAAATGTTATATTTATAAAGTGCATAAACGTTATGATACGCTTAGACGTATCGAATAAAACACACGCAAATGAAAGTGTAGGCAAACTTTGTTACAAAACTAGATGTATTTATTACCGATATAATATCAAGTATGTACCTTATGTTACACGTTGAAAGATGAGAAAAGAGATGAGCAAAACAAAGTAACGAGCAGCCTACCTTTTGGATTCCATTTCACACAGCATAAATACGATTTGTACTTGATTTTGTAGGAGTTTTTCGGATCGCTAATGTAAAAATGATCGGCCAGGCCGAGGACAACAAAATTATTCGGACCAAAGTCGATAAGGTTTTTAAATTTTATTGACAGTGCGATGTGAAATATTTCTGCAACCAATAATCAAGAGCTACACGGCAGCGTCAAAAATAACAGCGGCAACTTATACAGCAACAACAATGACAACTTACGAGCTCCGTAATCGCGATAATGCCTCGAGTTATCCCCCTTAATAATAAGGAGCGGCTGCTTTCTCGGTCGACAGTCCCATCCACAGTCGTTCAATTCCCACTTTTTATGGCTTTTAGCATCCATAGTCGACTGTAGGCCGATATCGAGGATCCGGTTGCTTCGCAACTCGTTGAAGATGCCCAAGACCTTGAAAGCACTGTCCATGAGCTTTTTCCGCCAGTGCTGCGTCGCCTTTTTCACCTAACACCAAGCCAACCAACATATAGTATTACAGAGTATTTTTATATTTTTTCCCGATGGCTGTTGCACCAAAAACGGAGAAAAAAAAAAAAAAAAAAAAAAAAAAAAAAAAAAAAGACTCGGTTCAATTTCAACAAATAAGCGTCTCGTCCGGCGTAAGAGGAATTACTTAAAAATAGAAATGTACTCCATAAACGCAACATCGAAAAACTGGGTTATTATACTACTTTTCGTCACAGAAACGCCATCGCCGCCACCGTGGCTATTTTGCGGGCCGAGGGACCATAGGGTAACTCCGGTTGGATGGCGCTTGTGTGCGAGTACTGTTTTTCATACCCATGTACCTATGATACATATGGTAAGGTCGCTGCACCCCGGGCCAGTTGAAATATAATACAACATAATCTTCTCTTATTTAGCACTTTATTCACGAGGTAATAATACTTATTGATTATCCGAGCGAATAAGTTAACCAGTAATACTCACCCCTGCAAAAACGTCCAAAATTCCGGCGTCTTTGTCTTTTTCCTTTTCGTATATGATGCGGTAATGCGACAAGTCATTGTTCACTCTATTTCTGCGTGGTATGAACCTGTCACCAACGCTTTTGCTGCGTGAGCTCTCAACTACGTGGTACAGCTGTTCTGATCGATCGTTGGTCTCGCCAAAACGAGCGCATGACTTGTGAGTGTGCAGGAAATCAAAGTCCTTCAATATTCCGAACAATAAAAAAAAAAAAAATTAAAAAAAAAAAAACGATGTGAGATTTTCCCAACCTGATATTTACACCTGATTATCGCTGGCAGTCCAACGTTCACCAGAATATTCCAAGAGTTTGATAGTAGAAACGAAAAGATATGGGACCAAAGTCGTTCAAAGCTAGTTAAAGTAAAATTACCAAACAAATCCATTTCAAAACGTGAATATACGAATAACGGTAAAATCATGGATTTAAGAAATTAAAAACCAGAGAATTCGAAGGAAGGAAGGGAATGTAATAATATGCTACATGATTATCAACAACTGCTGATAATTAAAAAAGATGTTCACATAGGTATGACATACTTCTGCTTCTACTACCTAACTGTTGAAACACATGAAACACAACAAAAAAATAACACTAAATACACAAAAAATTAACGTATTCACGTTAAACATGCAAATGTTATCAGTTACTACATATTATATTACTACTTACATAAGGACGGTGTTTAGTAATAACCTTTTTGCGGTCACATTAAACTCAACTTGGTAAAAAAATGCTAACACAAAATACGGTATTATGCAGCACTGTTTTCGTAACACAAAGTACGAAAAATGAAAAATACAGCTCAAGAAAAAACAGTAGATCAATCCCAGCTACGTAAATTTTTTTCCAGATATGCTTGTTTCTTCGTAAACATGGGGATTTCATATTTTTATACTACATTCTTGAAAAAAGCCAGTTTATCAAAAATTTATAATTTTATCAGCCCAATTATATTTTTAATCTATATTATTTCCTGCTATTAAAAATTAACATTCTATACGGGCTTAAGAGTATACCAAATACACAATAAAATACTACAGTCCCGGTAGGGGCCAAAGCTCGGGCCAAAGAATGAAGTCAGCAATTAATTTTTTTGGCCAAAAAAAAAAAAAACCTAGAAAACTTCAAATGCTCGTATCTCCGTAAATAATGGAGATAGGATGAAAAGGACGATAATTCGTAATCCTTTTTTTCGAGTCATTATAACATCTCATATTGGTAATCTATAACCGGTCTCATTATTTCCTGCTATTAAAATATAACATTTTATGGGCTCAGGAGCATACTAAACACACGATATACATTGTAAGTTTGGGCAGAATTAGTGACTCAGACACATACACACACACACACAAAAAGAGAGAGAGAGAGACGCGGGCACCCGTATAATGCACATATAGTAAGAGGCATGCAAATGACTAGAGAGAAGCTAGGGGAAGAAATGCCATAGTCAGTACATACAAGGAACGCGATACTGATACACTTTTTATGCTTTTTATGGTCGACTTTCATCCTCTATTTGATGGTTGAGTAAGTACGAGCCTCTGCAGAACTGGACGGTCCGATCTGCATGGAGCTAGACTCGTCGTGGCTATACTAATGCAAGCTGGTGAGCATTTTCCTGCAGACCCTTAACGTTTGTATGGGGGCTCGATCATTCAAAGCGTTAAAAAACATAGTACTATAGACAATAAGAGTTGTTAACTACATTATCATGATCCACGTCGTATCTATGAGCCAATGTTTATCTTTGAATAAGTATATACGTTCGTACAATTATATTTGCATAGCGAAGATTTTTATTTTCTCTTCACTTGACTTTCTCCTCATCATTTTTTTTTTTTTTTTTTTTTAATTCAATAATCAAAGAGTACACTGGGTCATTTAGTTGGATGCGCTCTTGTTACAGTTATTCATTTAATAATCGAAAAGCGCACTTTTACGAAATTTTTTTGTAAACCATTAACTGCAATACATACTATACCTATTATTGATTGATTTAGTAACGATTTTATATATTCGTAATTATATGTATAGCCTAATAATTATAATTATTGTAACGGTTTGATGGAGTTATGACGCCGCCACCACCCAATTAAATACTTAATTTAATCTAATTAATCCTGAACCAATGAAGTGATGATATGTTCAAGGTTCGATGACGAGTGAATATTGAACCTTACAAGGCCCGTAAGTACTCTAAAACTTCATTCATACCCTATTCTGAAGGTGTTAGTACTTATACATAAAATGGACGGCGACATTTTTACAGATATGTACATCGAATGAGAAAATAATTTAAGTATCAAAAAAGGTTATCGATAGTGACTTACCGTAAAAGATATTGATTTCGCGAAAGAATCGTTTGCCAGTGAATTATTATGAAATAAATAACTTCTGCGATTGTCCTGAAACAAAAAAATTAGGAAAATTTTTATTAAGGAATCAAACATATAGTCAATAGAATATCAGAAAAATAGGTAAAGTCATTGAAGTTTGAATCAAATGAGCATTCGTAAATCATTGGAATAAATAAAAATATGTAATCGAAAGTCTTGTCATTCTCACTGAGAAAAAACATTTTTTCTCGCCTTTACAAGATGCACTCTCGTCAATTTCTCAACTAAGTTATTATATCAGTCGCGAGAAATATGTACTCCTCGAATTCGAGGTAAAAACTAAAATAAAAAGGATAGTCATCTTAGCGTCAAGATTCTGAGGGGAAAAAATTGGTTTCAGTATATAATTAATTACATTGTGCTGCACGTAAAATGATCTTCAATTAATCGTGAACAGCTTGGTCTTCCTAAATAAAAAATTTATGGATGTACACTCTTACATTTTTACTTGTAGTATGAATCAGTAATGTTATGTTTAAATTTTAAGTTTCTTTGGTTCATCAATGTGTTATATCTCAAACGTATATATATATNATGTATGTGTGTGTGTGTGTGTGTGTGTGTGTGTGTGTGTGTGTGTGTGTGTGTGTGTGTGTGTGTGTGTGTGTGTGTGTGTGTGTGTGTGTGTATGTGTGTGTGTGTGTGTGTGTGTGTGTGTGTAAGATGAGCTGGGGGCTTTCGGATTGTTAACTGATCAAGTTATACACAGATCGAGTCTGATGGCAAAACATTTCGATTGACGTTAACGCGAACTGGGATCATGGGTTTATTTTTTTCGCAATAGTGTGCGGAAAATGGGTGTTTTCCGCACTGGTATTAGTGTGGAAAATCGATTTTCCCACACAGTGTGCGGCAAAGGTTTTTGCCGCACAGTGTGCGGAAAAGGTGTGTGGAAAAGGTTTTGCCACACACCGGAAAAAATTTTGCTACACACTGGAAATCAAAATTCAAACCTATTTTGTACCTATTTTCCTCACACATTGCGAAAAAACTTGTACACAACTCGTGCGAGACGATTTCCCGCACTCGTGTGATAGACTCGCACTCGTGGCCGGTGACGGTAACTCGTACCTTGCGATCACACTCGTGCTACGCACTCGTGTGCTCAACTGGTACTCGTTCCCGTCAACTCCGACACTCGTGTGAGTCAAACACTACTCGTGCGGGAAATCGTCTTTTCCGCACTTATTACGTAAATAACTATTATTAGATCAGTCTCCACATTTTTAGGACTAAATTAGATTTAGTACATACGTACCAGTCCTTAGAGGCGAAGAGCGAACAAACAGTGAGCACGTGTGTGTCGTAACACATACACATGCACTTGTGATGCCTGTAACTATAAAAGTCAGGCACAGAGAGCCCGTGAGGCGCGCGGCACGCGAGTGCACTGGTAGGTATATATATTTCTGTTGAGAGAGTTCCGGTGTGGCTCGTGCAAGCCGAGCATGTTGTGTTCAACCAGGAAAGGCTTTTACTGAGCGCATGTGCAAGCGTTGATTTGCGATTAGGAAAAATTCCATATAACGTTTGTTGTCTAGGCCATACTAGGCTAGTCTTAGTGGTCGCCGTGTTGCAGCGGCGAAATGCGTTTTGTTGCAGTGCAATGCACGCGTGCGTATACTCTTTTTTTTTAGACTTTTGTAAGCGCGCTAAGCTTTCGGTATATCATGAGCATTGCGATGGTAAAACCGTCTAATTTCTTTTCTCAGTAATAAACCATAAAAAATTCTGCTTTTTTTTACTCAATCTAGAAAGTTTTGTAATACTAAAATACTCATCAACCTGACATGAATGAGAATTTGGAGGTAGAAAAATGTTTGAAATAGGGGCAATTATGTGTACTATATTGGTTGAATTTATTACCATCAATACACCTTTATTTTGCCCACAATTCGCTTCCCAAGAAAAGAAACCATGATAATAACATTACTATTATATTATGAACAAAAAAAAGATAATAATAACATCAATAGTAAAGACAAAATTTCTTTTACTAAATGTCGTTGTGTGTCTTTTATTGGTTGTTGCAAACATATTACTTTTGTCTACTTTTATTATGCGTTTGTTTATGTTCCTTTTACTACAACTTTTTGAAGTAGTCATCAAGGATAATCAAGCGTGTACATAAATTTTTTTCAGATTTTAATAAAATTTTTATTAGTAATAGTTGGAGTTTTAAGCTTTTGAGTAATGACAAAAAATATAGCAAAGTATGATTATTGAAAAGATATTATGAGAAAATGTTTACTTTTACGTGTAAATACGTATCAACATGTGCATATAGGCATTGATATGGGTGTAAAAATATGTGACATGTATCATAATATAAATAACTGTGAATGAAAAAAAATATAAAGTAGAATAATTGAATTTCGTAAATTAGCAAAAAAAAAAGTAGGTATGTCATTTAGGTATTTCATCTCCAAATGGCTATTTTTTTTACCAATGTATATGCTTCAGTATGGCTAAAAAAAGTTTTTTTTTTTATTAGTATCCAAGATATTGTTTTCTTGCTCTTTATAGTTGTGTTTGCGAACTAGCTTGTGCGCTACTGTACAACAGCTACATTTGCCTCGACATGTACAATGTCCATGGTAAAAAAAAAATTCTTTATTCGACTGTGATTCGTTTTATCGTTACAAAAAAACACGTTATTATGAGGACCAGCATTGATTCGACAAAATGCAATACATTGGTAATCAACTCGCAGCTATAATTTGATTAGATTTTGATCCAACAGCTCCGTTAGTCACCAATAGTAACTTTACTTTACTTAGCCATTAGATGGTCTCGGCGTTGCCATTTTCAAAAGTAGATTCGACTTTTACAACGCACTCCTCTCTCATATGCTTCTCCCCCCCCCCCCGTCTCTCTTTCGTTCGGTACGCGTGTGTGTGTGTGTGTTGTTTGTGTGTACGGGGAAAGGGGTTACTTGATTTGCCTATGTAGTTTTATTTCACTGGCGACGAATACAGAGCTCTTGCATAGCTTGACCATGTACAGACGCATTGTACGGGATAATCGATGCCCCACAGCAAATGTTTTTCGGACGCTCAATCCTTTGAAACTAAGTATGTTCAATTCGCATACTTTATTTATTTACTGTAATTATTTTCGCATCACTGTTTGCAACAAATTATCAACATACATATTATTGTGACTTTGTAATCGAAGCTTTAAGGACACAGATTTGCCGAGACGTCAAAGACTTTTATAATTTATCGAATACCCGTTTAAATAACATTTTCTGTGATACAACAATAAAATTTCTATAGTTTATTTAATTATCAACTTCCTCCAGTTCCTTATCATTTTCTATCCTATTGTTACTTTTGCTTTATTTACTTCACCTTCATGCTTACAATACATTGAAATTGGTTTTGCTGAGTATGTGCTGCAAAAAGCTTCTTTTTGCAAAATACGTGTAATAAACAAATCCATACCATTGTTCTGTGTGGCAGTAAATACGTATGCGAACATATACACACGATATAACTTGCGTTTCTCTACGAGAGACCTATATCAAATCCTTATGATTAATTTACAATTTAATTCATCCTTGTCTTTTTCATCAGAACAAACTCAAGCATCTTAGTTGTAAGAAAAGAAAAAAATATAGTTCCAATGAGTCTCTTTCACTTATCAATTTATATGTGCAAGTAAATTGTAAATACATAACATATGCATTTTAATTAAGCACTTGAGTGACTTGATACTTTATAACAAAAAAATACTGATACAATTTTAATAATTACTTATTAAACTATTGCGGAAGTCTTCGGCAACCTCCCTTATTCTTTACACCTTATTCCCCGTACTTGCATTTACCCCAAATATTTCTTGTATTATTACTAACGAAATTTAGATTTTTGGAGGATGCAGGACATAGAAGAACATATCCCTGTATGTTACTCGTATGAAATTACTCGAGATTCAGAATTTTTTTGAACTGAAATAAAACTTTGAGGAATGCCTGTACACAAGCTTTGAAGAAGGTAAGGCCCCGAGAAAACCTGTATCATCTCATAATAATTAATTGTTACTCGGTTACTTCAAGATTATTCATTTAAGGAAAATGTTTCCGCGGTAGCTGTTTTTGTAGATATGCGTGCACCCACCCTCACCCATACATACGCACACGTAGTGTTGAAACAACGCAACTCGTGCGCTGTAGGTAAGTACTAATCGCTCTCTTTATTTCTTTCTATTTGGCTCCCCACCTCCGCGGGCCGGTGTCAAGTGAGCAGGAGGAGGGAAGGGGGCGACCCCACCGGCAGTGAAGCACCGTTAGGATGGATGTTAGAGCCGAGCCATTGGCTCCCAGCTACGAGGCAGAGGTTGGCCAACCCTGGCCGGGGCGTAGCGAGAGAGAGAGAGAGAGCGCGAGATATATATACCCAGCAGGAGATAATCTCCCCTCCCTCTGACACACTAAGCTCAGCTCCACTATACAATGCCTCTTCTCTGCAGCAGCGACTCGCAGCTCGGTATATATGTATAAGTGTACACGCTGTGTACCTCTGAAGCTACCCAACGTAATGGTTGCAAAGATGTTGCACCGAATAAATGTATATAATATTTTGTAACCCCAAGTACCAAATTTTTCAATAAATTACCCTACTGCATATATTTTATTCACGATCAAGAGATGAATGACTTACTTATGTTAGGATTGTAAAATTAAAAAAAAACACTCCCATTTCGCATTGAACAGGTAGGCGTACTTGTATTTGAAAAAAAAAAAAAGGTTTTGATAGTGAAGGCTCAAGACAGGAGGAAGGGGTTGAGACGAAAAAAAAGGAGGATCAAAAACCTTTGGAAGGAGCGCGATAAGAGAAAAAGGGAGGGAGACAGATAGGCAGACAGACAGACAGAAAAGAAGGTAAAGAAAAAAGAAAAAAATAATGTAAACGAAAGAAAAAGGAGAAATGCAAAAGAGAGCGTTAGATATGGAAAGCAATGCAGGGAGGAATTGCGAGAAGTGCGCTCAAGAGAGATAGAGAGAG